AACAATGCGACGTCAATGCGCCGTGTAGTGATGAGTCCGGTCAAAGAGTACATAGACAATGGAAATTCAGACGTTCTGCGGTTAGATGGATTACGACTGAGACCCGCAGACGACGAAGGAAAAGCTCAAGGATACGCTCAATCTCATTCAGTACGGTCTGACGAAGGATACCACAGTCACACTTACCACGACGATGCACCCACACCACCCGAACATCTATCCGACTCTGACGATAGTTCCAACTGCATTTTGGACTACAGGTAAGATACTTCAAATAATTTAAATCTGATTTGCATCACTAGATGTCAACTATTATACAGTTACGTTTAGATATAGTGTATTGTTAAACTAAAATACAAAATTACTTGTTCGTATAGTAAAAAATCGAAATTGCCAAAACCCGACGAGGAAGCAGTTGAAGTGGAGACTAACGAGTTTCTTAAGGTGAAAATTAAATTACGCAAAGCATCCCAGTACAGAAAGGAATCGGATCAACCACCGAAAGAGCAAACGCCACCACCAGTCGTGGTCGCCGAGCCTGTAATCGTCATTCGTTCTCAGTCACCCAAACGATACGCGGAGCCATCTTCATCCAGTGCGCCGTGCAGCAGTGACTCGGTCGAGTCGCTGCCAAAAAAACTCAAGCTCGATGCACCCGTTGTGCCACCCCCGCCGTCAGTTATCTATCAATATCCCAGGGACCAGAAATCGCTATTGGAGAACCTTTTGTTGCAAAACAAAGATTCGGGCCCGTCGGCCGCTCCCGCGCCGATCGCCCCGTCGATGTCACCCCCTCCGCAAATGCCGGTCCCCGACCCGACGTACATACAACGTGGTTACGTCAACGCGTCCGTCAGTCCAGATTCGTCTACCAAGGTTCTGTCGCCCTTGCACCAGATGCACCGGAGTCCACCACCGCCGGCAATACTCGTCTACCCGGCCCCCGCTGGTCAACAGATGCAATACATGCCGTACCACCACCATCAGACGCATTTGTTCCCACCGCAGAACGGTGGCTACCAGTGCCACTACCCCGGTAACCATCCGGTGGAATCCAGCGCCAGTCCACCGGCGGGCTCCATGTCACCGGATGACGTGTCGCCTTGTGGAAGTCCTGGAAGCACCAGCAACTCGCGCGGATATAGGTCTCTGCCCTATCCGATCAGCAAGAAAAACGGAAAAATGCACTACGAGTGCAACGTGTGCCGCAAGACATTCGGTCAGCTGTCTAACTTGAAAGTGCATCTGAGAACGCACTCCGGCGAAAGGCCGTTCAAATGCAAAACGTGTGGGAAGAGTTTCACTCAGTTGGCCCACCTGCAAAAGCACAACTACGTACATACCGGTAAGTGAATTTACCTCGTTTTGTGTATATAATGCATATAATTATATGAAAATAATATTAATATTACACGAACGAAAGCTAATTGTATTGTCTGTTTGAATTTACAGGAGAACGTCCGCACGAATGCGATGTGTGTCAAAAACGGTTTAGCTCCACTTCTAACCTTAAAACTCACTCGAGGCTACATACCGGTGACAAACCGTTCGTTTGCGAGATATGTTCGTCGACGTTCACTCAACTGGTGCATTTAAAATTGCACAAGCGCATCCATACCAACGAGCGACCGTTCACCTGTCACTGTTGCCAAAAATCGTACATTAGCGCCAGCGGATTGAGGTCAGTACTCATTTCTAATGCCAATTATTTCTGTGGCTGTGTTTTAACGCGGAAATAGTAGCTAACGGTGCACTTTGTTTTTGTGCCGACTTTAGGACCCACTGGAAGACCACTTCCTGTAGACCACCGTACACGAGCGGCAAGGACGACGCAGCCGAACAGCAGATTTCCAGTCCCGATTACCAGGCGTATCATCAAAACAATTACTCGAACGGTATGATGGAACATGCCGACGACACGAATCAAAACATTTACGGTGCACCACACGTTAGTGACAAACACGATGACGATGACGACATGTACGCCCACCTGCGACCGCATCATCATCAACCGACAATGACGCCCGTCCAACCGGAAGAGGTTCAACGACCATCGGTTATCGAACAGAGGCACTTTATCGAGTGCACATAAGGATGAGACACGATATTGCATTCTGAGGCTACGGATATTAACTGTGTAACATATAATTGCAATGGTCGTAAGAAGTGGATTCGACCACCACTAACAGTAGTGGCCCCCTCCCCTCCCACAAACTTAAAAGGCTAATTATTAAAGACGTAATTTATTTTCTGAAGAAAATTGATAAGCTCAAAGAAGCCAAATATTTATTAATATGAAATTTTGTCAAAATAAAAGAGGAATTCTTTTCTTAGAGCAGAAAAAAAAACTGCATTTGAATTTTTTTTATTTTAGCGGTCGATTTATAGACTTAGCGAAATGTACTGATTGTTAATTTTGTATAGATGTTTAGTTTTGTACTTCTAAAACAGATATTATTAAAATGTTCCTAATTTTGTTTCGAGTTTTTTCTATTTATGTAGACTGTAAAATGTAAAAATATAAATACATATATACATACAATATATTATATTATGTAATAATTAATTAAATTAATACTATTTAGCTATATTATTGTATGGTATGAATGATGTTTTGTTGATCTCAGTTATGTTTTGTAGATAACGATTGTGTTGAATATTGGGAAGGAATATTTTGGTTGTAATATTTTTCTTTGTGATTTGATAGTGAGGGCACTAATTTTTCAAGGTTATGTTTTTTTCATTTTAGTTATGCAAAAATAAAATATAAATCACAGTTTAAAATAATATTATCATTATGACTACATTATAAAATCTTAATTTTGTAATATTATTATTGTGAACTGTTATTCTACCTTTTACTATTATAAATACAATATAATATAATATAAATTATTATGTTGAATAAAATACTGAATGTGTTTTATTTAATTTTGTTTTGTTTATTATTTGATACTTAATATAAATTCCTTACTCGCTGATACAGCCAAAAACGAATTGTGCTGTCCATTTTACATAAGAAAACAGTAATAAATAATTGCACTCTTAAAGATTTGAAGTAGAAATAGTTTTGCCAAATGTTGTCAAGATTTTATAAAAAAGAAAAAGATAGACGCCTACGCTAGAATTCAATCTTTATTTTAATTAAATTTTTATATTGAAAAATTCAGAAAATTATTGAAAAAAATACCATTTCAAATAACTTATTATACCCTAATTTATAGTTTTTTTTCGTACGAATCAAATATTGTGCTCAATTTATAACCCCAACTATAAACTTAGAATTTATAAATAACATTTGTATTTTAAGCAATGATTGACTGAAAAAATGTTTAGTAACATTTGTACAGATAAAACTAATACTACGCGGTAGGTACATAGACAATTAATATCATTAAACCGATTGTGTGCTAAATATATTTTATGTTTACGGCTTTATTATCAGAAATTGTTTATACCCCCTGTTCAATACCATCAATTAAAAATATTTTACTCGATTTAACAAAGTTTATATAGTGGTAGATAATAAAACCTGTATATAATACTAAATATGCACTTGCGTTATAAAATATTACAAATTTTAAAACTAACTATACTAATTTATTATTATTATTATTTTATAATTTATGGTATGATAATAAATTAGAATAAATGACTTATTAAAATTAAAATGTTTCATTGAAAAATGGCAATAAGATTTTCTACTACTATGAATATAGAAAATAATTTTAAAAGTACCATTAAACATAATATGAACATGAGAATTTTAATTTGCAGTTCTTATATATATATATTATATACTGACATACAGTACAAGGTAGACATTATATAACGTATTATAACGATAAACAATATAATACTTTCATTTCAAGTTTCAACAGTTAATAATATTGTCGATCGGGTTAAAATTAAACTTTAAACGTCCATTATTTCACTTCTACAATACTATATAGTGTATTTATTTTTAATATTATATCGTTTATGTAATAGGAACTAGTCAGTTATAATTAAATCAATATATTTTGTCTAACTATTACCAATGGTCGTAATAAAAAATAAACTCTAACTAATGAAAATATAAACCTATAAAAGCTGAACATTTATTAATTTAATATTTTAGTGGATATACCCAATAGATTATGTAATTATATAGGTCTAATAAAATATGTAGCAATCGTATTTTATTATATAAAACACGAACTTGTACTAATTCCATTTTTCATATAAATATTGGTTTTAAAAATTATCAATCGCCCAGTATCTTTATGTTTTGAAACTTATTTTCGTATTTATATTATATTAATTTATAATTAACATTAATATCTACTATGGGAGGAGTGGAGGTTAATTTAATAATACAACCAAAAATAAAAACTTTTAAATCTATACGAATACAATATTTAATAAGGGACATAGACTCACATGTAGGCACATATGGGCACAGTTATAGGACGCTACTTTAAAACATTCAAATTAACATTTTAGACAATTTAAAATATTCAGTTGTGTAACGACGGATTAGTAGGTATAGTAGGTACTTATTTAGTTACAATATTATATTAACGAAATAAAATATAAAATATATGAAACCCGATACCAAAAAAAAAAAATAATGTAACAATGTTTTAATTTACAGACATCCACACATAACATAATCATTTTCTTTTTTTTTGAACCCACACGGTTTTTGTGAGCGTTTATTTGAGGGTGGAAGCGGGGTCTTGACACAGTAATGGGCGATTATTTTGTAACGTAATAATTGTGAAAATTATGTGTACTGGACCTATCCTCCGGGGCGTTTTTTCCTCCTCATTTCAGGTCCACCCGAACACCATTGTTGAAGCGGTGGACCACTTTCTAATCCGTGTTCGGTTCAACTTCGCGGGGACGGCTGACTGCAGACTGCGGAAAGTGGGAACACAAAGTCGTGAACGCGCGGTCGACGGGCCGCGTAGACCGCCGCGAGTAGCGACCGCTTACCTATATAAATCGGAGGACCCGTCGTAGATGGACCATTCACTCATTGCCGCCGCAGCTCCACAAGGTGCGACGTTAATATTATTGTTATTATAGTATGCGTGCAACGGTTCGGCAATAAAGCTACTCGATAAGTTTTCTTCGAGTTTTGTTCACTAATTCCGTTTTGCGTTCACCCCGTTTCTGCAAAACCTACCTCGTCCGTTTAAAATGATGATCGCACAGGTAAGTCATATAACATATTTTTCATTTTACTTATTGGGTACCTACATCTGAGTTAGGCTATATTCTTCCTTTTTCGTCAAATAACCTAACGAAAATCTGATGTACTCAACTGCATCTTGCCTACAGTGCATTCATGTTGCTTCTTTTGCTGCAGTTTCTACGTTTTGTCTGTCATCTTCCTCGTACTTGTTCTCGCACCTCCAACTCCAATCGGCCATTGGGCGTATAATGTGTATTTTAATTAATCATGTCATTAACTTCACAGTGTCTTCTGGTGGCTGGAATCGCCGCAGTGGTGGTATCTATGCCAGTCACTCAAGAGGAGTACGCCAGGTACATATCCCAACAACAGACTGAAAAGGGCCAACCGATTCGCAGACCAGTGCTTCTACAGGTGGTCCCTGCCGGCGGTGCAGCTTACCAACCGGCTGCGGCGTCACCTAGACCAGCTTACCAACAGCCTGCCGCTTACCAGCCACAACCCACCGCGTATCAGCCACAGCCTGCTGCGTACCAACCCCAGCCAGCCGCGTACCAGCCACAGCCCGCCGCGTACCAGCCATCATCCTACCAGTCACCCCAGGCCTACCAACAACCAGAAGAATACCAACAGCCAGAACAACAGTACCAGCCATCTCCTCGACCACAAGCACCGCGCCCAAAGGCTCCATCCAAGCCGAAATCTCAAAACAGGCCCGAAAAACCGGAAGACGAAGAGAACGACAACAACGTAAGTGGTTTTATTTTTACATATTAAATGGCTCAATAATATATTATAATACTAGAAAGAGACATCTCTTTAAGTTATAAATAGTACCTAATAAATTTGAACATGGGAATGTTTTTAGCACAATATACATTATACAGAATACCTAAGTTTCTCAAATAATATAAAATATCCTAACTTAAATTTTATATTGCGTCTATACAATTATGATACTTAAATTTAAAATTTGAAATTTAATAATCTTACAAAAAAATTAATTTAAAGTTTTTTTTTTTATCAACTGAATCCGCTGTTACAGTTTGAACAGCTATTGTTTTTATTAAATATTTAATACGTGTAGAAATAACTGTTCTAAGTGTATTTGAAAATAATAAGATACATTTGAATACCTAATTTTTATTATTTATTCAACTTTATAAAATCTTAATTCGTACAAGTTAAATTTTATGTTCTAAGCATAACATTGTGACGAGTATCTTTTATACCTAAACATTTTTTACATTTCTATATATTATATTGTTTATATGCTTCTAATAAGGATATTAGATATTACTATGACGTTTATTGGTTTTACTGAATCATAAAATTTTTATTTTTATAAAATAAATATAACATTAAAGTGTGAATCATTAGGTGGATAAAATATATTATACGATCTAATAAAGTAATAGTACATGCTATTTATAATATTATAAACTAACGCTTAGTAATGTATGCATAATTATTTTAGATAATAATTTAAGCTTTTTTGCTAGACTGCAGTGATATAATTCTAAGAAAGTTATGTTGATGTTATTTTTTAAGATCGAATCTCCATAATCATATTGATAATATACATGGTTATTCAATCAGCTGTACTATGGTAACTTATATAACTTTCTTTCATTATTATGCAGGATACAATACATAGGTAACATAATAATAATAGTAATAATATATTATATCGCACAGGAAAGCAAAATACATAGTTTGTAACTCGTTTGTCGAAAGTGGTGTAACTCGCGGGGGCGACTGGGTCGAAAAAACTTGATCCAGTTACGATACAACAAAAATTAAAAACAAATAAATAACATATCATTATTAGAAAGTAGTTATATATATATATATATATATATATATATATAGTGGAGATCATAATGTTGCTTACTTATTATGTTATAGATTACTATAAGAGTGTTACGAAATATTTCATAGGGTTTATTATAATGTGTGTATTATTGATGATATTATATTTATATACCTATTGGCGCATGTGAAATATGTTATACAGAAATATTGAAATAATAAAATTTAAATTATTACCGGACGTGTGCACGGCAGTGCAGTTGTCACGACTTAACCCGACCGTATCGGTTGCATAACATCAAAGCTAAGCAGTGGCTCTGGATCTAGACGATCATTAAATCTGTACCGTGCGTGCAGCAAATGAGAAGACGTTCACTTTTGTTTCACAACAGACAAATTATAACAACCGATGTGTATAGGCAATGAAGAAACTTTAGAAACGCTTACGTGTATATTATAATAAATGTGACCCAACAGATAATGTTACTACTATTATCGGCATGAGCAGTTGATAGTAATTTCAAAATTTTCTTTAATCCTTTAATTCAAAGACTTCAAAATGTAATGGTTAGTAACTATACTACTGCTGGGTTCGTATATTAGATAGCTGTTTAGAGCTATTTAGTTTAACAGAAAAAAAAAGTAATTTACTATTTATATTGTCATTATATAGATGATTAATAAGAATCAGCCGAATCCTACTCGTATACATACGAATCATGACGTATTATTATCGATCGTAAAACATTTTTGAAATATTACAACTTATACTTTTAATTTTTAAATGAAATTTAAAAACATGTTATAAAGATTATGGGCTTTTTGATAATAGGATTTTTACTTTACACGATGGACTAGTAGAATATATTTAAGCAAAAGAATATTAGATTATATATAATGAAATGATTACCAATCACTTATTAGACTTCAGCATGTACATAAATTATTTTTAGTTTTATTTTGAGGACATCATAGACCACGCTTGAAATTCATCTATGTATAGGTGTCCGTATGTGACTATGTTGAACTAATAAAATTGAACTAAGATAATTTAATCATATTATAATATTAGGTATATTATTATGTTTATTTATTTATCGTATTATTCTTGTTTGTAATATTTCGTATTGTTCTTATTTGTTAATGGTCCTATTTTTTTTGTTCATATGACACACAACTAGTTAAAATAAAAATAATAGTATAAATTATCTTAAGTGTATAATATTATTATAATATATAAGGTGCAATGTAGATCAATAATTAATCTCAATTTTGAAAATTATAATGAATAATTATTTTTTAAATTACATTCATTGTTTAAGTTTGTTATTAACTTTATTATAGCCCAATGCTCAATACCAGTTTTCGTTCGACATCAGCGACGATGAGTCAACTAACTACCACAACCGCAAAGAGCAGAGAGATGGTGAAAAGATTTCTGGAAGTTATAGCGTCGTCGATTCAGATGGATTTATCCGTACAGTCACTTACACTGCCGATCCTGAAGAGGTATTTATGATTAACAAACGTGTATTACCTAAACGCTTTTTTGGGTTTTTTAAATATTCAACATAATTGCATTCAAATGGGTTTGATTTAAATAATGAATATCAATGAGAAACTAATGTTAGGGATATTTTTAATGGCGTATTTTCGTTGCGGAATCACAATGACATAATACGAATCAATAGTGTTATAAATTATTATATTCGGGTACATGTTTTTAAATGATTTGAATAAGTTTTTATTTAATGCCATATCTACAGTCAATGCAAAGCGTTTATTTATTTCTCGTTTCCAATTCATTTGTATTTATTAAATAATGTACACCGCATATTCTATTTAACATAAGAAAATTAAGTACTAAATTGTATATCACGATATATCATTTAATAGAACAAGTTATGATTGTAGTTATCTAAAATAATGTAATAGCAATTATTTTTAAGGGTTAAATTTGAAAATTTTGAGGACTGAGGATATTCAGTAGCCTTTGTAAACGCACTTTAATACGTAACTGAGTTTATTCTAATTTATTGTATAGCAGCCGTTCAAATATCTCACTTAAACTAAAAATGTTTAGTATAAAATAAATATCTAATAAACAGTTACTAGATTTATATAATAAAATTATGCATATTTTATACGTATTATACAATATGTTGTGATAGTTTAATAGGCATTTTAAATTATCGTGTAAACATATTTATAATGCACATAATACGACACGTACCTTGTATCAATTAAATCGATCACATCGGACGTAAGTAATGTATACATAATAATATTAATAGTATGTTATATCATATATATTTTATTTTTAAATTATTATTATTAATATCGCATTTCATTAACATAGGGATTCAAGGCCGAAGTTAGCAGAGAGCCAACCAACATTCAAGTGAAGATTCCCACTCCTGCCCCACAAACGTCACCAGCACCACAATACAGATTGCCAGAGAGGAAGCCACAGCAGCCACAATACATCTCGGTACAGGTGAATGATATATACCTAAAGAGAGCGACGAATAGGGAACATTAAAGAAAAACTAGTAACGATGAGTGCCAATTATTCAGTGTCATAACTCGATAATTTGTGGGTTGGGGTGATCAAAATTGCTTAATAAAACTTTTTTTGGATACGGAGACCGACATCACTCTACCCAACATTAATCGACTCCTTGAATTTTTTTTTTTAAATAATAATATTATTTTTTATTTTATATACAATGCTCTAATTTCACAGTTTTATAAATATATTATCATACATAAATAATAATAGTTCAAAGTTATGAAATCCTGCAAGGAGCGGTTATTAGCCCTCTCGTCAAACATATGCCACAGAATACAACAATATTCGGTTTAAAATGTTTTTCTTTTAAACACCATAAAAATATAAAAATGATATACATATAAAATATAATGATAGTAATATTATGAACGATACAATAACAATAATATATAACAACAACAATTAACGGTTATCACTGATTGGTCAGACGAATCGCGATGTCTATATATAATAATATAAACATTGACGATCTTTCCTTTTAAATAGGCCAGCGAACCCGAGTCCGCCGCGCAACCGGCCGATCCGATTTCCGGTTACTACCGCAGTCCGGCGCCGCAGCAACAGGTCAAGCAGTCGCCGGCTGTGCACCGATTCGCCGCTCCCAGGCCTCAGTCAACTGGCCACAAAGCCAGCGCATTGGGCTACGCCACGGCGCCGACCAACTCTCCGCCAATCATCTACCAGGCGTACGACCAGTAATAACAAATTCATGACAACAACAACAACAACAACAGTTGTTATGTCGCAGTGGACGGTTAGGTTAGCTGCTGCTGCTGCTGCTGCTGCATTATCTCAGACCCGAAACACACGCGCCTCGGCGTCCCAACCACAGTCCGCCATCAATCCATCCTGGTCAGCACTCATGTCCAGTCCGTACACGTAGTCGGAATGGTTTTGGTGGCTTTGCAGCGGTTCTGACGACACACTGTAATCCCATATCCTATACATTATAATGATTGAGATATATTATACGCACGACATATTATTAGTATATTAGTATTATTGAAATAATAATAATTGTATTGTAAGTTACAACATGTAACGTAGCAGCATATAGTAACATTCCATTCATTTTTGTTTCATAAATTTACGATATTATTATTAGTATTTGTCCTTAAAAAATAAAATATGTAATTTTTGTGTATATATACTTTGTCGTGCAATCATATGACGCCGAAACCAACGTGGACCAGTGGTGAGGCGAACACTGGACTCGCTTCACTGCGTCCTGACAACCCTGTGGTTAAAAACAATTATGAAAACTAACATTTTTTTCAAAAATCTGTTCCAATAGTGAGGAATTTACAAAATTTCTCTTTGTAAATAAATCGTCTATAAAATCAGGCATCTATACCGACCTCGAGCTGAAATATCGGCGTCAACAGTTTCCGTATGTCCCATATTCTGATCAACCCTTCGGCCCCTCCAGTGGCCAATACGAACGGGTAAAACTGGTTCCACGAACAGCTCAATATCTCTGCTTGGTGTGCATTTATCTTGACGCTCGGCCGCAGTGGGGACGAACAGTCCCAGATGTCTAACATCCCGTCGCCTTTAGGTATATAATATACAGTCAAAATTATAAAAAAATTAATCGATTTCGTAATCGTAGATATATCATATAACACATATATCACATAAAATAATTTCCATAAAATATATGGCCCAGGTGTGTAGCAAAAAAATTTTTGTTAAGAGGTGTTTTAATTGTGTACTAAAATATAACTTATGAGGAGGCTTTACATGAACTTTATATTATTTAATACTCATGAATCATTATAATCCCTGTATTAATATATAATATCAAATTTCAAAACACCCACAATATTACAAAATATATTATTTTGTAGAAATTTAAAGCATAATTTAACAAGCATATTTTTGCATAAATACAATTGAAGGGTGATGGGGGTGTTTTATCATCCAAAACCGGGAAAAATGGACCCCTCCCTGACTGTACATGCACATGGACTGCACGTCTTAATAACAAATCATTTGGTCCTATATATACCTGAAACCGATGCAAAACACGAAGACAAGAACGGAGACCACTTTGCTTCATAAACCAGTCTATCGTGTCCTTTGTACGTTGTCAGCGAACAATACCTGTTGGGATCCCACTGGAAAAAAATATAACAATTATTACAACACTAACACCATTGTTGCACCGGAAACGATTATAATAGTATGTTTTGTTTTATTCACGTACAAGCTTTACTGAACAGTCCCACGACGCGGACAACAAAAAATCGTCTACGGAGTTTTGACACCAATCTACGCTGCACACTTCTTTCTTGTGTTCGTTAAACGTTCTTACAGGTTTCTGCGGGACAACCGATACGATATTAGCGTTATGCTATTCAAATCATATAATCTTCGTATATTGTGTTTATAATATTATTATGTATTACTTGTGATGGATATTTATAATTCCACATCTGCACGGACCCGTCTCCGCTGCCGGTCACCAGCAAACTGTACACTGATCTGCTCCATACCACGTCGAAAAGCCCGTCTTCCCAATGCATTTCATACTTTTTGGTTATCAGACATCTGTCTTCGTCATAGGTCACCAAAAACAACGTTCCACCCCCTTTAAATCCGTAATATTGTGACGTGGCTATAGCTAGTAGTTTTGATCTATTTGGTGAAAACTTTACCGAATAGCCATGTCGGTTTTCAGTTTTAAAAGTGGTCATTGGAAATTTGAATCTAAAATCATTACATTGTTTCTTAAATAATGATACATTTTAATTAAACGCAAATCCCAATGATAACATTTAAAAAACAGTGTTGTATTCTTGTGTAGATAAATAATTATACTATTCACTATTCATTAGTAAAGATTAAATTGTGGACCAATCATCGGCCACTAAATCATGTTTAAAAGAGTATTAGCTCACTATCAATTTATTAAATGTTTAGTGATTGTTAGTGGAACCCGGCAATAATATACTATATAGGAAATTGAAATTGGATAAGCACATAAGTTATACATTGTAGGTTAAATAGTTAATAAATGGGGGACGGAGTGGCCAAGCGGATTAAGGAGTCGATTGCAGGTCTCGCCGGTTCTAACCTCGGTCAAGGGCTGCGCTTTTCTCCGAGCAGTCATTCGTCTGGAGAGAGAGGCCGTCATCCCCCGACTGGGCATGGCACAAATCTATGAGTGCCCAATCGAAATTCTGTCAAAATATGAACACCCACATGTTAGTAAACCTACCATACCAAATCCTACCACTTCCACAATAATCCCTCACCGTCCCAACCCTCACCCCAATGGCCTTTGTTACCGCGAGCCCCCAACCCCCCAAAAAAGTTAATTAATAATTTAAATACTATATTTTTCACTTTATTTTGTCGTACATTAATGGCCAAGCAACAAAAGTTATATTATAGAATAGTCGTGATTGTCTGTCCATAATTTTTAATTTTATGTTATTTTTTAAAACATAATATATCATAGTATGATACCTATATCATTATTTATAAGCTGTATAAATAATAATACAAAATATATACCTATAAGATAAAAGTATAAAATATAGATCAATGTTTTGATGAACCCAAAAAAAAAAAATAACAACAAATTGTGATTGGTAGGACTTTTTCTTAATGGGTACCGATTAAAAAAGATTATAAGGTCGTTGTGACAATTGTTTTTGTATTGTCAGTTACCATAAACACACCTTAGAAATAGCATTTTAAGAAATATTTGACAATAATGAATTGCATTACATATTGTATAGTTAAATTACCCACAATAGATTAATAAAGGTACTGAATAAAAGAAGTGAATAATGTTTTAAATAATTTAATGTTCGAAATTAAAAAAAAAAGCAATTCTAAACACTGGATTGATTTTGTTAAAACATACCCAATTGGACCCCACATACACACAATACTTTATAATATATACCTACACAATAAACTATATTATAAATTATTTATAACTTTAAATGCTCGATCATATTTTTGTTTTATTTTTATGTTGTATGAGAACTTTTATACTAAATCGAATATTTTTTTTAAGATACATACATACAATTTATATATTTTTATTTATAATTCATTCGTACACTAAAGTTGCAAGGGAATGTATTATAAACGTATAAATAATTTAAAACTCAAGTCATGTATTCGTATTATGAGAGAAGCCACGTATTGGCGACACTTGGTAAGTACTTTGGCACGACAGGCAATTATTTTTGCAAAAGGTCACAACACGTAGACACCATTCCCTTTTAAATATCTGATGAAGATTTCGCGTTAGAATTAATGTAAATCAATAGATAATATGATGATGGATATTGATTATGATAAAATGTAGTTATACTGAGGCAACTACACACGACCATTGAACACGTAATAGTGCAATGGCTGAAAGAAAATTCTATTAACAATGTACCAAACATTTACATACACTTTTAATTAAAACGATAATTATATTTGGATCAAAACATCAATGGGTTTAAGATGGCATTTTTTTCAATAAATTCTTCATTTTTTGGAATCAAAGGTGGGCAAAAAATTATATTCATGTGATGCTTTAAAAATTCCAAGAGAGACAATGTTTATTTTAATTAATACTTTTGTTTGAGAAGAAATTAAGGTCGACAATATTAAATAAGTCTACACTTGTACAGTATTAAAGATTTTATATCTGTCAGTGGTACCTTGAACAGGTCATTCTTCAAATTTCCCAGAACCATCTATCATATATATAATATAAGCATGCATTCGTTTTTAATAAAATATGGACTAATATTTTTCAGGTTATAGCCATCGAATACTGTTCATCATCACATTTTAATTTTAAACAATTCTATGATGAAATAATCATCATATGCATTTAAAATATGTAAAATAATACGTAGTTTCATCTGTACTCATTGGAGCTGTTAACACTTTTATTAGGTACCCAATTTTATTTTCATATTATTTAAAAATAATTTGATTACTATCTTAGACCTTAGTTTAGTTTGTTAAATACCCACAATTTAATATAAAACAACTGATCTATGGCTTCGTTTAGAATATTTTATTAGTTATTGGCTAAGTGCTAACTACAACAGAATTAATTTTTGAAATTATACAATCAATTATTACAGTTTTTCACATTAATATTTTCTTAAACACGTATTAAAGCTAAAAAATATTTAATTATTTTGTGTTTCAAATATTGGTTTATTTAATAAAATAAATTAAATGCTGAAATTAATCTTTAATCTTAGTCTTAGTTTAAAAAAAAACTATGTGAGGGATAAATTATAATATATACCAATATTTTAGAAATTATGAAAATATTTACACAAATCAGGTCAATAATTGTATGTAAAGTACCCAGTTTAAAAGGGCTTCTTGAATAGGATAAGAAATCGATGGTTTTTAGAAAAACTTTACGTGTTTGAAATTTTAACGAAGACATTTTTTGCAGTGACAAAATATCAAAGAACTTCCGGGTCTTCATTTAATCCAATTATCTTATGACGATATAATTGTAAAAAAGAAACCCTATACGGGAGCTTGAGTAACATCGATCAACTGTTTAGTCCGACATTAGACGGGTCACATTCAAGCGGACCCTCGTTTCAAGTGTTTTGTATTTCGTTCATCATAAATTATGATACCTTTATTATTTCTTTATTTCATAGCGACGCTAAAAGTTTTTAAAAAAACTACCCCAAATGGTAATTCAATGTCAACAAAAAGTTACGAAGCATATTTGATTCGAACACTAAATTTTTATTTTTAGGAAAAGTCACTATATACATCGGTAAACGAGATTTCATTGACCACTTAGACAGTGTAGATCCAATTGATGGAGTTGTCGTAGTCGAAAATGACTATTTACAAGGAAGAAAAGTTTTTGGAATGGTAAGCTTTATATCACAGGTGTTATTGTAATCTACATAATGCTTTTTCAGGTTTCCACGACTTATAGGTATGGTCGAGATGAAGACGAGGTGATGGGTGTAAAATTTAGTAAAGAAATGGTGTTAGCGTGTAGTCAAATCGTCCCACCAATAAAAGATGTCACAGAATTAAGTCCTATTCAAAAAAAATTAGTGAAAAAATTTGGTAACTCTAATGCATTTCCATTTGTGTTCAATTTCCCCCCGAATTCCCCATCTTCGGTGACCTTGCAGCCGGGTGACGACGATAGTGGAAAACCTCTCGGAGTTGAATACAACATCCGAACTTATGTGTCGGACAGAGAAGATGATAAAGGAAATCAGAGGTCGTCCGTCGTCCTAGCTATTAAAAAGGTATGTATTTTTCAAAAGTAGTCAATTTAACATATAAATGTGTAAATACTCAGTTACAATACGCCCCATCAACAAGAGGTCAAAGACTACCAAGTTCACTAATTAGCAAAGGATTCACGTTTTCTCACGGAAAAATTAGTTTGGAAGTCACTCTGGACAGAGAAATTTACTATCACGGGGAAAAAGTTATTGCAACGCTAATCATAAGTAACAGCTCGAGGAAGTCCGTAAAAAACATTAAGGTATGACGAATATACCTCAATGCATTAACAATAAATAGTCAATAATTTATTATCAGTATGTAACCATAATTAAAATAATTATTTTTATTAATAATATTAATTACTATTGTTATATAATTATACCTATAGGTATATGTTGTTCAACACACCGAAATTACAATGGTCAACGCTCAGTTTTCTAAATTTGTCGCCAGTTTGGAAACCCGAGAAGGTTGTCCCATAACACCGGGAGCCGCGTTCACTAAACAATTCTATTTAGTCCCACTGGCGTCCAGCAATAAAGACAGGAGAGGCATTGCATTAGACGGACATCTTAAGGTATTTATAATTTTCACCACTTTGACGTACATTGAATAAAATGCATGCGATATACACTACAGGACGACGACGTAAATTTGGCATCGTCTACACTTATATCGGGAGGTAAAGGTCCTAGTGACCAAACTGGTATCGTCATTTCATATTCGGTCAGAGTAAAGTTGAACTGTGGTACTCTGGGAGGAGAACTCGTGACCGACGTACCATTCAAACTTATGCACCCGAATCCAAGTAAATAATGTGTCATACGTTTGTTTCACTTGAATTTATTAAAATACAAATAATATTCGATTTCAGCATCCGAAGACTGGACTGCGCCACCCAAGCAACCACAAAAAGGAGTATTGAAGAAGACCAAGAGCTCGGACAGAATGAAGTATCAAAAAAGCTTTGGGGACGACGACGAGGACAACATTGTGTTTGAAGATTTTGCAAGACTTAGGTTGGCCGACGAATAAATAAAAACCATTTGAAAAATTGGAAAATTGTATAATGTCTAAAAATTGTTTTGAAATGCGTTCTTTGCTTAACTCGCATTGGTAGGAAAACCGGGGTATGTTTAAACTCAAAATTATTACTATTATTATTGCAAGATTATAATAAATTATTTCATCGCTGTCTTCTATATAATATACAATATATAATATGTACTCGATATTTAAACTACATTCCGATAGAGTGCTAATATAACCTGAAATACTGGATTCGATTCCCAGCCGAATATCCCTCATAACAATGAAGTCGAACGATTTTGGGGAGAATATGTCATCGGCAATAACCATTACCGACGATCCCGAACCGGAATATTCAGTACTGGTTCGATTTCCGTTTTTCACACCTTTGACCCCTCGTTGCTAATATTCACATACATATCCTGTTTGACCGATACCTCACACGACTACTCGAGGGACTTAATATCGCATGCATGTAAGTTTGGTATTATAGATGTTTTTAATTCAGAATAGAATGCTCTATATATTACTTCCGATTTAGAAAAAAAAACACTCGTCAAACATGTTTATGTAACCTATACACTATACAATGTAATATAATAACTGCTATCGACGGGCAACAGAATACAACCCGAGTAAATATCCCACTATATATGATAAAAAATCGTATTTATTATTTGCCTAAAAACAGAGTATATTTGTTTGTATTAGTAAATATTAATTTTATTTAAAGTGATGGTATTATTTGAAACCCTGTAGAATGTGTTTAATTTATATTAACATTTATAATGTACATACATAACATAAATTTAAAAAAGTAATCAAACATAAATATAATATATAATTATGCAAAATATTACAACAAATAAAATATATTGTGTCAAAAATCATTAAAACATTAATGTAAAAGTATAGAGTATATTATCAACTAGGTAGAGCTATTAGTATCAGAAATACAGGAAATCCTATAGAAAACATTAATCATTATTCATTACAATATATAGGTACATAATATATATTATATTAATCATAACAATAAACCGTTAATACTTAATGTAATATCATGTTGTACACTAATAATAATAAGTATTTATTATTCAAATAATGAAGTAAGATCTCGAAAAAAATTACTCAAATATATTAACTAAACAACATTTTTTATATTAAATAGGTAACTAATTAATAATTATGTAAAATAAGTTGAGCTATTTTTTGAAAGATTAAACCCCCGAAGTTCATTTCATTAATTTACAGATAAAAACAATGACTCAAAAATTAAAAATTAAATTAAATAATATACTGGAATAAGTAATATTATTATTATTATTATTATTATTATTATTATTATTATTATTATTATTATTATTACTTAATTAACTTATAAACTACATATATATATAATACATTTATATTCCTATTGGTCGTTGTAGATATTAATTAGGTGCCTACTATCTATCTATAACTAATGATAAAGTATTCTATATTACTACTGTAATAAAAATATTTCTTTTAAAAATACTACCCATTAAGCCATGACAAGTACATATTAATAATATATAATAAATATATATAATATGTACGTATGACATAATTTTAATAAATTCATCACATACATATGTAAGGTTTAGGTTACACGTGGCTCCTTTATAAAACTTGAATAACTTAAATGTATTAAAGTGTGAAAAATGAGTTGTTTATTGACATTAATAAACTGTATACTCACATATAAATATTAAAAATAAATAATATGATAAAAGTAAAAATATTAATTAATCCTATAAGATTTACTAACGATTATTTAAATGTAAGTAAATTTTATATATCTATCCTACAATTTACCAAGATAAATATTTGTCATTCGAATATTGTTTAAGGCCAATATATTGGTAAAACTATATAAGTGATTATTTAAACCAAAAGGTTGTACTTACCACAGCTAACGTAATATAATGTTTTATATAGCTACTCTAGTCTTCAGTATACAAATTACTAAGTGATCAATTTCTCTATTAAAGTGTCCACACTCATTATTTAGTTATTTAGAAGAGTTTAACCTTTTTGGAAAAAATTCTTTTGATGTCATTGCTTCAAAAAAACTTATAAGTATTTAAAGTTGAGATGAATGGAGTAGAATGGCACAAATGTACCACTAAAAATATTGGTCCACTGGGTACTTCACTTATCTAATGTTTGAAAACTTTCAACTAATCAACTATCTACTCGTTCGGAATTTTATTTTTGTGTATCGAAGTAATCCGAAAAATATTAGGTTTTTAAATATGAAATTAAAAGTGTATATTGTAATTCAAAAAAGTAAAACTTAAAAAAACGTTTAAACTGTTAAAAATATAATTTTTTTAAAAATGTACTTTCACATTGACATCAAATTATGTAAAAAAAACAATGGATCAAATCGTATACATTATAAATTTAAGAAAAAAAATTGTTTTAAATGTGCCTTATAAATAAATTAAACCAACATTTTTGTTTCTAACATATTTTTAAAACATTTTAGTGCTCTAATTATTATTTTCTTAAAAATAAATACAATAATTATTACTTACTTCTAAAGAGAACTCCAAGTGTGCTCCTAGGCTTGTTATTGAAAACTGTTGATTTCTTTAAAGGTGTGGTCTCAAAAGTACTGTAAAATAAATCCCCACCTAAAAAGGGTTACCGTTGTGTTGACCCAATGACCAAAGGCGGCCGGCTCTTCTGTTAGGGTTGGTATCCCCCCGATGTCTGCGCGCCGTAATTTTAAATTTATGCTTGTGGGCATTTTTATAATTATGATTTACTGTTGCGTAAACCCATCAATCACCCAAAGAAACGGTCGGTGATATTTAATGTTTATACAGCCGGACATATCTTTATCCCTCACTGTTTTTTTAAACTACCGTGTGATATGATCATTTTTAGTGAGAAAAAATTCTCACAGAATATGTTGAGTCATGCAAATTATGCGACTTGATAATAATTTCCTTAAAAGTTTAAAATTACATATTTATAAATACTAAAAGGTCAACTGGTTTCAAGGTGATATGTGACTGCTCTTATTATAAATCTTAATAGAAGAGAAATATACTCTTTGCATTCATTTCTAAAAAGTAAAAATAATATCTTTAAGAAATATAATATAGTATGGATTTTTTTTCTAAAATTTCTTTTAAAAGAGTTATTTTTAGTTCAAATTTTATTCAGTAAAAAGATAATATTATTTTTACTTTTTAGTTTTCAAATCAGTAAAATCACTTTCGGGTCGTTTACAACATAATATCCGCTAAATAAGGGGACATGATGATTTATGACTTATCTATATTAGTATAATTTTTTTGTTCTAGTTGAAGAGATTAATGTTAAAAGTAATAACATAGCCTCATATATAGATGTGATCGTATGTGAGTTTACTTGCTATGATAAAAAAAATTACTATTCGAGTGAAATACAAAAAATTGTACTTACTACTTATATGAAGAGAACTATAAAAATCAGGAAAATAAGATGTGTGAATTATAAATACAGGAAAGGCTATGCAGTAAGGGTTAATAATAAGAAAGTCACTATGAGGGAAAATATTTTATAGAAAATTAAAATACAGGAATTATTAAATATGACAATACGTATATTATGCGAAAATTCTTTTCAATCTTTATCCGGCATACATGATACATGGGTTTTACACTTCAATTAATTCTCAAGACCTCTTATACCATAAAAAAAAACTAAAATTGTAATAATAGTTCATATAATTATTTCTTATTTTATATCACGAGTTGTACACAATATTTCAAAGATTTATAAATATTAGAAAATTATTTAAAAATTGGATTCTATTTTGATCTATTTTTGAAGACATTTTGTTTCAGCCAAATTGTTTTAAATAAAAATAACACATTTTTGATTTTTCGATGTTCTTGAAATGTTGAGTTTTATAATTATTTATAGTTATTCACTATAATATGTTTAATACTTGTATACACATTGCACTTATTGTTGTTTTAATTTCACATCGGTGGGTATAGAGAGAATATTTTGTAAAGGGAATTAAATAAATAATATTTTAAAAACATTTATAGGGTAGTATGTGGTTATGCGACCTTGTTTTTTTCTAAAATGTAGCCTATATGTTAAAAAAAAGTCGCCTAATCTCTGCGTATGCGGCTAGTTGCAGTTGATTGAGGCATTTATTTTCGGTTTTCCACCCTCCTAATAAATCCGACTATGTCGATATTCCGCTTGCTTCGCTATTGACGACTGATATATGTGTTTTTATGAAAGTGTATTCTAATGGTTCTATACACTGACTGCCAACGATATACGTATCAATGTATCATATCGTAGAATCAATATTATAATATTATAAGACAGTAAAACTTGGACCAGAACCTAAAAAATAAATAAATACGACGAGTGCAGTTGTGTGTGTTCGCGGTTTAAACGGAGAGAAAAATATACGACGTGAGGTGTAACAAAAAATTACGACGGTATTATAATATGTTGACGGTGCAGGACATACAATATTATTATATTATTATTATTGTCCAAGAGCCGCTATCGTCGTCGTCGTGCTGCGCAGTGTCTGATGACACTCGATTAGGTACCGCACGTCCTGCAAGTCGGAATCGGACACCCCACACAGACGCACACACACAAACCCACACAAACCCACACGCACACACACGCCAACCCTTTTCTATTCTAATTATGCAAAGTCGAAATAAAGCGCGAAAGGGGGGAGCCGCCGCAAGTATAATAGTGTTACGGTTCCGGTGCCGGGGCCGTTGTTTGGTGATTTATTACAGTGGCCGTAAACATTGAGGCTTCACGCGTTTCTCTGCATACACGGAAACCGGTTTCCGGTGTTTTCCGCGACGGTCTCGGCCGGTGCCGTCCGAGGAAGGAAACGCTCCTCACCATATTTTTTGTCGTTGAACCAGTACAGTGTATGTGTGTGTGTATGTGTGTGTGTGTGTGTGTGTGCACGTAACAATACCCTCCACGCGGACTCGCGTGTGACCAACGGTCGCGCAAAACAAGGGCCGTAAGTGCATTGTAATCTACGAGGGAATTACCTAAGCTAGCGTAAACATTGAAAGGATTTACAAAACGATTTTTGTCCTTCCTCCTCTTTTCCTGTTGCCACTCTCTGTCTTTCCCGCGTACGGTCTGCCACAGCGGCGGAAATAATAATAATAATAATAATCGCGTTCAAAAATAGCGAACGCCCGGATCAAGGACTTTATTTGGGGATTAAATGAATCTAAAAGAAGCGAATAGGTACGTGATGTTTTACGACCGCGCTGGATATAACGCTTTGAAAAATCAACACGTGTTCGTATCACGATGTTGCCGGGTAACAGTGCCGCTGTGACGTCGAGAGGATGGTCGCCGCGGAATCCGTTTCAGCCGGTCCACCAACGCGAAAACAATTTCTCCGGTGTGTTATTGATTTTAAATGTGTATACAATATACCTGCAACGTGCTGCAACGCACACATGACGAATGACGATGTACCCGAGGATTTTTATTCCGATTACCGGCTGTATACAAGCACATAAAAAACGAATTCATTGACATAGTACCGAATTCGATTAAGACTATAGGTTAGGTTATTTAAATATAATTTTATACGTAATTACAGTTACTACAATACTATTTAACTGACGAAAACAAACTAACTAACCAATATTTATAATATACTTTTAAATTTTTTTATAAAACTGCAGAATCAATTGTAGCTCAATTAGAGTTCAAAGGTATAGCAAATTTAATTGATTACTGATTGTGATGATAAACACACCACCTCATAATATTATACACAAACAAAAGTAATATAGTTGAAACTTGTAACAATATAACTGCATAAGATATTATGTATATATTAAATACAGTAGATTTATTAAGCTTTTTTTCCGTCTTCATATAATAACCTTATATAAAACAAAATATTTATTTTAGAGTTTAACATTAATGATAAATAATATATTATTTTATTTTATATTTTGTCCAATAAAACCTATGCTTGATGTATACAATATAATATAATTTTGATTATATTTTTCTAATTAAAAAAATATTGTTACAGTAAACAATTTAATTTCTCATTTAATTTAATAATTACTTTATTTATAACTCATTAGCCATTAGTCATTACACATAAAAAACCATATATACTATTTTTGTATCAAATAAAATAACTTCTTTTTCAGAACATTGAGAAAGTATAACGATAATATAGCAACAGAATATCCTCGATTTCTTAACGTATCAGTACCGTCTTATTAACTATCGAAAATCAAATAGCTCTTTATAATGAGGAGAATTCCTCAAAGTGAAACTGATATTTTATAAATGATATATATATGTAAGTACTATATACTATATAAAATACGTTTATATAATAATATAAGTAAGTATACCAGTTGATTTCAACTATTAATTATTATCGTGGAATTAAAAATAATTGTATTTTGACGATCAAATAACAAATAAATATGTATAATAGATTACTGTACAGCGTAAACCGTATAAATTGAAGGAACGAAAACAAAAAACAATAATAATAATAATACATCAGTTATTGTCTAAAGTGATAGTATATAGATGTATAATGTATATAAATTATAAATATAGTATCACGTATGACCGTGTGAGAAAATAAATAAAATAATTCGATTTGTACCAATACAATTTTTTATTTGAAAATTGTTCGTACATTTTTTCTTTTCTTGCAAGAATAGTTGGCATATAATAATGTATGGTGTTGATATGTTATAGCCTAATTAAGGACTAGAGCGTTAATTAATGATCGTGTTACCTCCAATGGTCAACATAAAGGGGATTATTATATCTTCACCCTACTTCGTTCCCATCGAAACCAGTTCTGGACACTGGGTATCCTTCTCCCTCGTCGAGTATTTAATTAAGAGTGCTAAACTGGTTAATTGTCTTTTGTTCGCCGTGCATTATAGGAATATACCGATGTTTGTTTAGTGGCTAAGGGAATAAGGGATGGATATTCGTCCATCGCAACCCCAACTATGTTTATGTTAATTAGCTTATAGCCTTTACCATGGGTATGAAACTTGATCCATTATAACTACACAAGATACATGTTTTCAATAAGAAGAGACAACATACAGGTAAACGCATTAAATAACACTTATTTTTCTTAGAATAAATTGTAAAATATTTCAGTGTTCATGCGTTGCTAAGAAAACAGAGCAGTCAAAGTTTTCAAACAATAAACATTCTTCACTGTGGGACTTATGCAACTCACGTTTGAAAAACTATAAGTTGAAACATTTCAGAACATTAAACTGTATAGTTTATGTCAATGAAACAGAAGAGTGTTATTTTTGTTTAAATCGTGTTTTATATTTGTTGTTTAAGTGTCATTAACATTTTTTTATTTAATTTACATTTATTACACTATGTTCCCACTCCAAAGTATTGAGTATTCATGATTCATGAAACCTCGTTTTATTTTATAAGTCGTACATAATATAAGTTCAGATTTATTATTGAATAAAATATACTTCATTTTGTATTGGCATTTAAACGACCAATAAACCAGTATATATCCTCACGATTCACCGTAGAATGACGTTGTTAACTAATGAGTAATAACTATAGATTCCATTAGATTCCGATACCTGCACATCCTGCGTCCTGTATACTATTTACTAGTTATAGACTATAGAAGTTGTCACTCAAATTATTTGCAGTCACATTCCTACAGTGTGCAATATCATACGTTTACAGATTCGAAATTGATCATTGGTCATTTATTAAACTATTATTGAGTTTTGAACAGTTTTTTTTTTAGAGACGCCTACAATGCAATACACATTACATACTATCATCATGTTTATTATTTCATTGTATAATTTGATACATACACACATACGAAGATAAAATATAACTGTATACAGAACGTTCTTGCAGATGTGACAAACGGCTATTTGATATCCCGTTTGTATAATGTCATAACGTACAATAGTGTATAATAAGTAATGACTAAGAAACATCTACAATTTCGTAATCATTTTCAGTTTTCACACAATTACCTCGCCGGCAACACATAATAATATATACCAAGTTATTTACCGCAATTATCTGATCTGCGTTAATCGAACCGGATAATAATAATTATTGGCATCCCTGAGATGACTGAAGGAAAATCAGGAACCTTTTGACTTCGTATGTAATAGTTAATATACTTGCGTCCTCCAAAAACTATCTCTTAACAGATAAAGATAATGTTTTAAATGTCGTCAGGTCCGTAGGGCTGCAGGCGTCTCAGAGTTTACCAAATAATAATCTAAAATAATAACTAAACAAAATACTAAAATATAAGCCATACGGATTGTGTTACTGCTGCAGAGTTGCACTATGAGATTGCATTTAATGCATGAATTATGCACTACTGTGTGCAGTATCTTGGAAGTACCTATACGTATAGAAATATATGATTTTGTGTAAATTATTCAATACCTATATATTTATTGATATCTGATACCAATGTGGTATCAAACGCTAATACTACTGCAGCTACAATTAGCAGCAAACCGCACGACCACAACGACTGCAGTTTTTGAAAACCGCAAACGCGGAAAAAGGCGCGGGTCTTGTACACTCCTCGGGCTCCACCGTGTAACAAATATATCAATAACAATGCGTTTCAGTTCTATGAACGGTGGAGGCGATATAATAATATTATAATACACGTATTGTGCCCAACGTGTACAGTATTATAATAATAGTAATAATCACAGTATAATAGTAGTGTGCAGGTCGCGAGACACGCGGAAATCCGACACGACGCTGATAATCGGAACGGATTTCGCTTACGATCGATTTCGGCGATTTCTCGTACCTACCTCGCCAGTGGAGTGCGAATGCCAATACGAATACGATACATATACATTATACATATATAAGTAATAATAACCAAATCGGACTCACCGAGCACAAGCGGATAACACAGCGAATAAGACCGTCGCGAAAACATGACGTTCCCGGCCTGGCCGATCTGCAGTCGTCGCCATTTTTGTCTCCTATTGATATCGGTGAGTATTTAATAACAATAGTCGTAAAATCTGTGATGTATTCTGTAAAACGTTCGTGAGTACACGTCGTGCTTTTTTCACGTATGCGACGATGGTAAAAACCACTTACTTACCATTGAGCAAAATGTCTTGCAGCCCTCATAATATTATTCATCACTATCAGATACAATTACCTAGTACTTACTTAATACTTTTGAATATAAGATTTTGTAGTTTTGTCAATATTGTACTTGTTCAAACAAAAATCATTAAAACCCAATGATGAAGACATCAAAGGAAGGGAGCGCACATAGATGGCACTTTCTATTTTTGGACACTTAAATTCAGCAAAATTAAAAAACATCTGTAAATATATGGACCCTATGGTATCCACAAACGGGATGAGGTAGATAAATTATCAACGGGTCTGATGATTATTAAATAATTAATCTGAGAATTGAATATTACAAATAATCATAGAATATTTTATTATTTTCGTCACTGTAAATTCTATATGGTTGAATACCTACGTATCATCGTACATTTAGAACAGGGGTCGGCCACCCTCGGCCTGCATGTAACCCTCCTCGTAGTAACTTATTATGTGGGGCCGGCGAGTAAATTTAAAATTTATAATTTATTTGTATGCAAATCACGAACTAAGATAGTATATAGACTAGAAACTGCGGATTAAGCGGATTGTTTGATACATAGTTTTAAATCAGTAAACCGAACATTAATGAATTTAAATAAACTAAATTTGATATGATAATACATTTCTGTTTAAAATAAAATAAGGTACATTCAAATTGTGGCTCGTGAAATATTTATACTTATTTTTTAGTCCTTGATATTTAAAAGGTTGCCGACCCCTGATTTAGAGAGCATACGCTAAAAAAAAAATAGAAAATTGAGTATAAACCGTATACCCCTCCCCTCTACAATACACAATTTCTGGGTAAATACATATATTATTAATTGATAAACACGTAGTGGTGATCCTACTCGCTCAAATTTTGAATAGGTACATCAGCATTTTCAAAATAAATTATCCATTAAATAGTTTGCAGTAAAGGGCCTCCCCCCTTAATTAATTTGAAAAACAGAAGTTAGTACCATTATAAGACACCTCTTTAGTAGTACAAAAGAATTCAGGAATTTTAAAACATTAAGTCACTAAGTATATTTAAAAATTCTGAAAGTCAAAGTTTGAATAAATTTAATGAAAAATGGAAATGACCATCGAGCATTATATAGTAAGATATCTATGGTAAATAGTTTTAAAATGTTTTTTTTTTCGTCTGCAGGCTTGCTATTATTATGGCGTCATTACAGCCATTACAGTGGTCGATCACGTGTCCAAGGATCGATACGCAGCCGGAGGTAAACGCTACAGCGACCGGCGACAATAATAATATATTATACAAATCAATATCGAATTATAATAACTGTACATAACACTGCAAAATGTATTATTGTTCACAGCTGGCGACAATAAGGACACTGTTGACGACACGCGCTTGCAAGAGAAAGTGGAAGACGAGGACGCGGAAAACAAGCATTTCATGTAAGCAGCCGCACTGGTTCATAATTTCATTTATAATATAGGTATACCTATTTGTTTCGAATTAACGTGTCGGAAGTCCCGCGATACGAAATGGCGTATTAGTGTAGTTATTGCTATAAAATAAAAGTGAAACAGCGGCGGAGGAAATGCAAACACCCTTTACCTTATATAAGACGACTATTATATTATACCTACGTAACGATCAGCAAACGCCAAAATAATATTATAATACGTTATTTTCATGCTAGGATCGTGGATATATTTGCATGACTTCACTATAATCTTTTCGTTTTCAATTTTTAGTGTTACCTATTGAAAAGAAGAATGTCATATACATAATTTGAAGTATTTATGATAGGTAAACGACATTTTTACAAACAAATATAAATTATACCTACTATTTTAACAGGTTTTTTTTTTAAATTCAATAATCAGAAGCGGATACATTACACAAAAGATGACATAAAAATTAAGCGTAACTAGTAAAATCTATCACCGTGTGTGTTAATTAATAACATACAGTTATAGTGAAGTACATGAAATATTGATTTTTAGTGTGCCGTTCAATCAATCTTTTATTTTAATTTCTCTTAGAGGTTTTGGGTTTTTCTTTTAGAGCTTTCAGTATGTACTATTATAGCCCTATAACAACATAATTAACTTTAGGGACGTTTATTCGTTGCAAAGCGGACCTCAACAGTTGGAGTTTGGGCATGTGTTCGAGGATCCAAACGTATGGGAACAGAGGTACGAGAAAAAGGATTTTGACGCCCAACGGTACCAAGGAAAAGTGAGTATAATTAAATGAATGATAAAAAAACCCGGATCATCCATTTGACGTATAAGATACTCAATATTTCTAACACTATTATCGTTTTTGAAAAAATATTTCTTTTACGTAATTTTAAGTAGTTCAACATTAAATTTTCTCTAAATTAATTACATTTTTAACTATTTTTAACGTTAAAATGTTGTAAATTTTTACTTTTTTAATGACATCATGCATTTTGTATTCTTTATTCCAAAGCAAAATATTTTTTTGGGAAAGTAGAATAAGTTATATAAGTATCCTGCAAAATGGTCTATCCATCTAACCTTTAAAGAAGTACTTACTTATAACTTTATAAGTTGTGACAAATAAACTACTCGTCAAAATTTGATTCGTATACTTGTGGATCAAAATACACTGAATAATATTCTGCTAAGAAAAAGGAAATTTAAAATGTGTGTTCATTCACTATGTTGTCATAGAGTATCTGAAAACTTAAAAAATTATAACAATGAAAAAAAAAGGATTTTTTTTTAATGTTGTTTCGTGACGACATAACATGATGTAAATGAAATATTTTCAAAAACATGTTTTTAAATTTGTGAATATTTTACGTTAAAATATCATCCCGTATAACTCGTAAAACTTTCAATATACGTTTTGGGATTTAACAGGTGAAATGGGGTGACAAAGACGGCAGTTATGGTGAACAATATTGGGATTTAAACCACGGCGGTGCTGGATCAAACGAAAACGTGAGATTATGAAATAATAAGTTGTTTCATTAAATATTGTTAAAAATAATAGCAACAGGTGTGTTATTTGTTAAATTATTTGTTTAGGAAAAAAATGAACAATACGACGAACCTACTCCGATCGAATACGGACAGGTAAAATTATTAATAATAAATAAATATTTTAATTTATGTTTTTTTCTTACTGTAACGCAATAACCTATCGGACATATTTTATTTATTTATTTAATTTCGCTGTTCGCAAATTAAAGAATTCGTTATATTATTATTATTTTAACGTTTAACCTATATCAGAGGTGACCAAATGGGCGGCCTTTGGACGAACATCATCTGGCCCACATGCCGTCAAGAAATGTATTTTTTAATTAATTATTTTTGATGGTGAATTAATAAATAAGTTTTCATTAATTTTTATTTTATATTTTGATTCTGTTTTTACCTGTTCTATGGATAAACATGTAAATTACATTTTGATGGCCCCATATAACTTCTAGAATTCCCAAATCCTAAAATGGCCCACCAAAAATATTAAGGGGCAATCCTTGTGTATAATAATATAGTAAAGCACATCTGTTAAATTTAGGAGAGCCGTCAGAGACCCGTGGTTTATAAGCCAATGATGATTACACTCCTTAAGAATAATCCCAAGAAACCCGTTAAAAGTGTACGGAACTATCCGAAGCGATTAATAGAACCACCAGCAGCACCAACGACAATAGGAAGTTCCACTAAAAAAACAGCTCCTGTTTTGGTTTTTGACATGAAGACTGGAGTGGTCATGGACGAAGCTACAGGGAATAAATTCATTTTGAAACCAATAAAAGATTAAAAATGTATCTACAATATTTTTTAATTGTTAATACGTTTTATATTAAAAACCTGAAGTATTCAAGTATCTAGATGGGTTATTAAATTATAATACTATAGGAAACGTCATTTGTTTGGTGTTAAAATTGTGTTATACTTTTTATTTATAATTATTATAATACGAGTATATAATTGGGTAACACCAGTAAGTTGTCTTTATGTACAATTAACTATACGTTTTTTCAATAATCATCGATTTGTTTGATTACAATTTTAAATTACTGTTATTTTAATACAATTATTTTACAAGACATTCATGCTTCACAGCACATTAAACCGATAGAAATATGCAAACAAGTTTGAGAAAAACAAATATTAGGTAAGTAAAGTAAGTATAAATAATTTTCCGGCAGTAAGTCATATGCAATTAAACTAAAAATTATTTGTAAAAGTTTTCTCTTTTTAATAATCACTCAAATTTTGAATAATGAAATAAACAAATAACTTTGTATTATTAGTTATATTTTACATAACGCATAACTGGTGAAAGGTATTTTTTAATTATATGAGAAACCCTAATCATCAAAATATAATTGGTATATTGATTTCTAAGTTGAGAACTAAAACAATTAGAGTTCAATTATTCGTTTCCTAAACATCCAATAACGATTCGTAGATAGGTCTGCTTAAAAATCAACACATAATATAGGTACTATATTATTATTGAATACAATTTTTGAGTATCACTGTATTGAAATGAATAATTTTTTTTCATATATCGTTTCTTCACAATGTATTGATATTACGAAAAATTTGTAAAATTGAATGAATAGCCATGTTCGATTATTGGCTATTACGCAAAATTCGAAAATAGGTAAAAAGTCGTTAGCTACTTATACATTTAGAAAAAAACATAAATGTATAATATACAAACATTTATATGCATATATAGTTAAGTTTAAAGGAAAAAATTGCTTTTTTGTCAACTTATAAAATTATAATGCATTAGTATATTCAGCCGTTTGAGAATATTGACAACCAGTAGAAAAATAACCCATTGAATTATAATAATTTATTTTATACATAGGTAAGAAAATTATGCAGACGATAACAATGATGAAAGTGTCCAGTGCAACATATTATACTATTATAAAATATAATATAATATTTAGAACCTGCAGAAGACCTGGCCCATTACATAAACATCTGTCAAAAACTGAGGAGCTATTGATTGATATTTTGTAACCACTATAATATTATATTGTCACTATACCAGTGTGACGTTATAAGCGACATTGTTCATTCGCTCATAATTTAGTCGCACATAATAAGAGTAATACAGATAATGATGGGCCCTGGTCGTTTTATTTTGTAGAACCCTATTTGATATGGTTGACACTTAAAAAAAAATATAGGCACCTAATTAATGTTGCATCGAACAGCCCTGCTGTCCGTTTAATTTGACTCTCTTTTCCCACGATGAAAATAAAAGTTACTTTCACTGAAAAATTTGAATTTATTTTGTGCTGATGTGATTAATTCGGATCAGATAATCCGTATCTGTGAGAACAATACAATATATTATTGTATTATACTATCATATGGTCCAAAAATCAATTACTCTGTAATTTGCAAGTCATTAAATAGGTAGGTACCTATAGGTATACCTATACAAAATAAATTATATTTCAAATGGTTACAATGTATAGGTATTTGTAATAGTCATATTCGTGTACAACCGTATCAATTAACATGCAACTAGAAAATAATATGGAGATATAGATACATTTTTTAAATATATTTATTTACCTAGGTAGGTACCTACTTCAATTGTTATAGATACTGCAGGTTTAATAGTTAGAAAAGAAAATCGGACGGAATCTATTATTTTCGTTCTGAACGTGAACAATACACATACCACTTTAATACTTATGTAGAATAATTATAATGCTAATTGGGTGACAAATATATTTTCGTATGAAACGAAGGCTAACATTTTTTTTTTATGTACACAACAACAATATTATTGTTTCACACAATTCATTATTTCAATAATTAGACCAGAAAGATGACAATACCATTTGCCACTCTTGAGCATTATTTTTGAATCTAGATTTATGTAGCAGTATAACCAAAGAAACTATAACGTGGCACATAACATAAGTAATCAAAATAATTGGAAACGTTACCTACTAAAAGTGCCTATGTAGATTGCGGGTATAACCTTAGTCCTTAAATAATAATATTATGTACAGACTACTGGTATATTATGATCTAAGAGTAGGACCTACATTTCATGCTATCGCTGTGTAAGTATGAGTTTTTTTGTAAATTGTTATCATTTGTTGATCAATGTGCCTTGAACTAAAAAATTATGATTACAACATTCAAAGTAATTTGCACAATATCAATAAATTAAGTTCTATGTATGTGTACTAAAACTAACAGTTATTACATTTAAAACATTCATCAATTATTTTTGAATAGGTTTTAAGTATTAAAACATTATTTTAAGACTATTACAATATTATGTGATCTATGATCCGAGCTGAAAATACCTAATATTTTAATACTATTAATTAATAACTTAATAATTAATAAATAGGCAGATATAGGTACTCACAAATACTAAAAATTGTACAGCTACCATATTACAAATTTTTGATCACTAGCTGTTGCATTTGTAAAATGATTCCTGACAAAGCTAAGATCAACAAAATATGTTCAACATTTATTACGCATGTGCTAAACATGTCAATGTTTTTTCAGAGGAATTTAAACTGCATTTTTAAGAAAATATCTGTGCAATATGCATGCAGTCATGCAGATATCTATGGTGTTGGACTATCGTCATGCTTTGCTCTCCCCTTGTTTTAAGATAGTGGTGAATTGTCATTACCTATAAATATTTTGCTTCGATTTTGAATCTTTACATAGAATAAAATTATTTTTAGTATAAATTTGTTTACTATAGTGTTTACTGTTTGCTAGACTACTTAAATTAATGTTTTACATATAGCAGAAAAATAATTATTAATTTTAAGTTTTAAATTTAAACATATTTATTGAACATGATAATGATTGTAGTATTATGTGAGAGACCTTATTTTGAAATGTTAAATTTTAATACATAAATGCTAATTTATAAATTAATTTAAAAGAAATCTAAAATTTCGTAATTATTATTAGATATTTCTCTCGATCCCGAGATAAAAAAATCTAACAATACATTTTACAGACACAGATCAACAATTGTTCATTAATTGAAATTATTTTGTAATAACTTTATAAGCATACGTATACCTTCGTTATTTTAATAAAGTATTGAATTGTCATTATTATCATTTATCGTCCATCTGTGATGTAATGGTGTATTCGAAACTAACCTATATGTAATGCATTTATCTTAAAACCAAATTAAATGAATTTTATCGATTAACTTTGTGTTGACAAGTAACAACACACACGCAATCATCATTACTAAATAAATCCTATAGGTGGATCGGAGTCTTTGTGCTAACAATGTACGATTTGACATTTGAATTGGTCGTTTTGTAAGTAGTGGGAACATTATAATTGTAAAATAATATCATTTCTTACAACAACAAATAAATATATTTCTTTTGAAACGTAATAGTAGGAGGGGAATAGGAGAAACTAGCCTAGACAGTTCTAATGTCAACCATAATAAAAAGTCAATCTGTACGTTGTAGACACACGTCGAAGCAACTGAATATTAGTGATCTACTCAAACAAAATTAATTTAAACCACCTACGCTATTTTAATAATAATACAGTAATATTGTTTAAACAGTTTTTATCTAATTTTAACTCAGTGTTAAGTTTTAAATTTTAATCGCTTTTAATAATGCAGTTTTTATATTATTGTTTGGTAAGTAAACTTAGTATTTTTCCAAAATTAAATGACTATTTGTTCGTAAGTATTGTCCAATGTCCGTGTATGGGATTTGTGTATTTCATGAAAACTTTTTATAGGATTTTAGCACATATTATAAATTTCTAATATCCGCAAGAAAAAGTTTATGTCCTTACTGTAAAAATAGATGTACAATATAAATATAATACATTGTTTTGGTATTATATTTTCTATGAACCAATACCCCATCGAACTGGGATGATCTATTAAGCCGACTTTTTAAAATTCTAGGGTTCAGAATTTGTATTACATTCAATAATTTAGAGAATATTACTTAAATACTTAAACACTTTAAGTGGTTTATGACACTCACCACCTACACTACTGCCAAAGTATCGGATAACTATAATTTCAAGAGAATTTGGGTATAAAACTGAATAATTTATGCACCCAACAGTAAAAAATAATATTTTTTATCGTACCATATAGTTTATGGGTATTAACTATTGGAAATAGCCTAATTGGTTTCCGTATGAGAAAGGTATTTTATTAAGGTAAGCCGATTTGGTTCCAGTTTGAATTTATGACTGTCCCATGCAGTATCCCACTACTGGTCGAGTTGATTTTAACTTTTTAATTACCTACACACATTTCTTTTCCTAATTTTAGGGTCAACTTTAAAGTAGGCATAGTTAAAAATGTGTGTTAGCTATCGTTAAAATATAAGTCAACCAGTCATCGCTTAGGTGTAAAAAAAAAAAATAATAATAATAATAAATAGAATAATTTAAAATTTAAGATTATTGTTGGGTTAAACTAACCTTGCAAAATTTAAATATACTTTCTTCAAATATTCTAATCTAGTAAGTTTCCTATTAATGTAGTCAGTCATACGGTTTTAAAAATGTTGGTAGTTTTTTCTTGTTTGCTGGTAAGTTTCCTTTGTATTACTAGGTACTGTGAAATTTAAAATAATATAATTTTTAAAAACTGTTCAAAGTCGCCATTAAAACGAACAAGATATTAGGATGGGCACTGGTATATTATTTATGATATGTTTTAGTATTGAGAAAAATTGCTTAAAAATTTAAATTTAAGCTACTTGACTTTAACAGAAGCAGAAACCAATTCAACTCATCTTAATAAAATACTTTTTTTAAAACGGGAACCAAACTACCTACCTTAGGTAGTACCTACCACTACTATACCTAACTATAAAAGTACCTACTCTTTTTATTATTTTAGAAGACTTGGAAAAAACCACTATTCTCGCCAATATATTCAACTTTATTTTAATTTTTAAGAACAGCTAGTACCTATTTATTGCATCCTATATCGAAATCAAACATAACAATCAGTAATTGTCAACATGGCATGGTCAAAAGTTTTATCAATGTAATTTTTAAATTAAAAATCAATGTGGTATAAAATAATTGTTTTAATCTGAGAAGAGAATGAAAAAAAATTGTACTTTATAGGTATTAGTGTGTGAAAATGTATTGTCTTCATTAAACTATCTAAATGCCAATCCCTATTACTATTATTTTTTTTTTTTATAAACAATTTTAATTGTTTTTAATTTAATCCGTTTTAAACATTTTACATTCGTGTGAATTCAACTAAATTGCATTTGTTGGTTGTGTCTCACTCTGAAGGTGTTTATAATTTACATATATTAATTGAAACCTAATACTTAGTTTTACTAAGGAACCTACGTAAGATGTAACATCCAAGCATTTAGAGGTGATTTCAAACTCGTCTTATATTGCCTTCCCCATTCGATGTTCGTATATATCATATGTTATATATTTGTTCACACCAGCTATGATATATATATATTATAAATACGTTGTTTTTTTTGTCATTTTGTCACAATGATGGCACTTTCCCCAGCGTATCGGTCCAATATTAGTGACGGTTTCCAGATGAAAAGAACACGGCGGGGACATGTAGGGAAAAAACGCACTAGGTAATCAACGGACAATAAAGAAAAGTAACATGTTATATATTTTCTTGGCCTCCTTTTCTTTTTGATCCGCTCGGGTATGTGGATACTGTTGCGCAATCAAAAACAAAACGAAAACGTATAATAATATAAAATCACAAAAAAAAAAATACATTAACAATAACGCTGGTCGCGTTGATCTCATAAGGTACTCGCCGTTGTTCAGATGTCACGTTTAATGTAAATCAAACGCATGTATACTTTTACAGGTGTTCCTCTCGACCGTATCCGTCGCGGTATTATTCGAAGTCAAAAAGATATACGTCATCGAACGCGATTTCAAGACAGGTATAACTAAACACATAACATTATTTTTATTTTTTTATTTATTTTTTTTTTTTACTATACATAATCATTATCGATGTGTGTCATAGGTAATGACATAATAGGTACCTACATTATATATGATTATAATTCAATATCGCCAGAGTAATATGATAATATGATCTATATAGGTACCTATAGTTGCAGGACATATTTAAATTGTATGTTATTACATTAGGTGTGTACAGACGTACAGTAGATCGACATGGAAGCTATACGAAATGTATACCTTCTCCCCCCCCCTTGTTATCGAGAACCGGGGGAGGAACTGGTGCTGGCATTGCTTCTCCCCCGATATGTATACCTAAGATAAAAGATTTACTCATTAGGCATTAACTAACGACCTACCTACGCGTGTCATTGATAACGCGAACTTTTGATTTTGTCGTTATTTAATGACTCGCGGTCGTTAATAATATCGATATAATGTTGTGATGTTTTTCGTTGAAATGGTACACGCGCATACGACATGCCAAATGTTTGATAAAAATAAAAACAACGAATTAACGTACTAATATAGTAATATCTCAACCGCGCAGATAATAATACTTTAAATCGATGCATAAAATATTTCAAACAAATAGCATGCGTTATTTTACCTACTTGCACGGCCGTCACGTCGCAAACCGGAGCCCCAGAAGCTATAAAACTCGGTGGAATACAATGACCGGCCGCATATTATAGTTGTGCGCACACGAGCAATAAAATCCGACGGTTCACGTTCTTGTAGGGTAGTCAAAAATTTTCGTGTTGTACAATAAAATGTCCGGTTATATTATTGCACATATACCTACTGCCGGGACTGGATTAGACGTAACGGCCGTGGCCGTTTTCGCAACGTAAAATAGCATAATATGTGTATAGGTATTGCGCGTATGTAAGTAGTACAGGCACGAATTCGCGAGGCTTGTGTCCATCGCTGTGACTATTTTTATATGATGTATAGATCACGTTTTGCGGTTTATTGTACACAGGTACGCATAATAATATGACAATATGAAATTAAGTCGGTTCCTGCGAGCCATGATAATCGTTTCTCGATGGTATAATATATATACGAGTATACATATAGGTACATTATTTTTATACGTCAACTATTGCAACGACCGGTCAATTAATATTCTAGGGTGGATATTATGTGTGATGGTTTTGCGGGGTTTCCGAGTTGCGGTCAGAGTAAAAAAATATGTAGGTACTAGCTGGTCCCGTGCACTTATTTGTTGCCCGTTAAAAATGCCAACTCTATATATAATAATATGAGACTCGATATGGTGATAATGCGAGCAGTACATTGTGCCTACTTGCTGTGGATTGCGGATCCCGCTTGATGAATACTTATAATATGTTTTATTTTGATTTTGATTTTGATTACGAATACGCCGACGAGCGGCTATGAGTGCAACTCAGCCACCTTGGTAGGCAATGTGCGAAAATTCAATTGTATGCATGCTTATACCTGATCTGCCCGACGGACAACTGCAGGCAATCGATAAACAAATATATATTTATACAAATTTCTACTAAATCTTTGTATAATATATAATTCTACTGTACGCCGTGTGTATGTCACTGAACTCCTCCTAAACGGCTGGACCGATTTGAATGAATTTGTTGTATGCGTTTGGGAGACTCCCTGGATGGTTTCGATTCACAATTGGACCCGATAAGTTCGACCCGGGGAGTTGCTCTGCAAACAGGGATTTCAAGATTCACGAAGAAAATATTTAATTATATACGGTTGCTATTGGTTTTAAGAGAAATATAAATGTATTTAGTAGAAAAAGTAACAATAGCAACTGCAGTATATGAACAAATATTTTCTTCGTAAATCTTCAAATCCCTGTTTGAGCAACTCCCCGGGTCGGACCTATAGGGTCCAATTGTGAATCTAAACCATCCAGGAAATCACCCAAACGCATACAAAAAATTCATTCAAATCGGTCCAGCCGTTTGGGAGGAGTTCAGTGACATAGGTACACCCGTACAGTAGAATTATATAAAATATAAAGATATAATTGCGGTCGCAGAATTTCGAGTCGTACGAAAGGTGGTCACTATATAGGTAGAAACTTAATGTGACGACCTAAGTTGTAAAGTAAATCCCTGAAATAATACATTTTTCCTTCGTACGATTTCCCCTTGTATTAAACATCAGAAACGAACGAATATTATAGGTACTATACCGTCTGGTTTTGTATTGAATTATTATATTATTATTATTTTATAGTTGTGTAATTTGTGTATTAATGTAGTATGCACCTAACAGTGATGGTTTTTAAAGGTACATTCTGTATTATATCATTAACTGCCTAATTACTCAATATAAAACAATTCAAAATTAAAACTTTTTTTTTTGTTGATACAACTCGGCAGCAAGGGCCATTACTTAAATTCTAACTTATAACACAATATATTATGTATACATGTGTTGATATTTATATTTAAATTTTTTTGCGGGCTATTTTTCTGTGTTTATTTTTTTGGGGTTTTCTTTCCTGTGGCTATTTTTCATTTTTTTGCAATTGGAAATCTAGTTTTAAGGGGCTTAAGTACAGCTATTTGTATAACATGTCTATAGACAATGTATATAACGTATATTATAATTTATATAATCTATATATATAAGAATCTAACTTGATTTTGGAGACGAAGGAAACCGGGTTTGAACCCTCATAATAATAATAATAATAATCAACTAATTACCAATTATTTTCATATATTCACCGATAACGATGTCTGTTTCTTTTTTTTTTATATATAATCATTGTATTATTTGTATAGCCAAAAAATAGTCTTATGTTTTTAAATTAAATTATAAAAAAATAATTTCTTCCGGAGGAAGATCGGGCAGCTAGTACATTATATTATACTTACATTATATTAGGTATATAATATATATTATTACATTACATATAACATTGTCCATATCTAAACACACCTATGGCGTACTACATATAAATTCTAATGTATTCTATTCCCAAATTACCAATTGATTTAGTAAAGCAAAACAAATTTTAAAAACATTTTTGAATTTTTCGTCAAATCTTCTCGAGATTGACTTCCTCACATTTTCGATTTTAATCTCCTAAACCATAGAAAACGTTGTATTAAAAAGTAAAAAATAACATTTTAGGGAAAAAAACAAAACTGTGGTAAAGTCGATTACAATAAGTTACCTTAATAAAAATTGTACTACAATAAAGTTTTTCTTTTCCTTAATTCGTCATTGTTCCCCCTCGGCTTTCGCCACTACGGTTTTGTACTCCTTAGTCATTTTACTCATTCCTTCTACTTTAATTTTTATTTAAGAGAATTTGCAACCGATATTGGTTGTGTCTGTTTTCCAAGTTTCACATAGAGCTGCTAATTTTGCTTCCGATGCAATGCAACGATAAATACCAATTATAAAAATAAATTTGTGCACAGAGTGAGGTGTGCGCGTGATATCGACTAGGCTACTTATTTTAACTAAATTTTTAAATAACAAACTAAATTTTTAACAATATTGTCAAACCCTCAAATTAAATGTTTGGAAACGAAAGAGTAAATTCCAAAAAGTGGCTTGGATCAGATCGATATACACACTTAAACTACTCAAATCTTTTATCATAATGTTTAACGCCTCACTAACTCGATGTTAATCTATTTTCCTGATAACTAGAAATAAAATAGTATACACACACACAAAGTTAATATTACACTTGATGTACGTTGACAGGTCTGTTGAGAGCTCGCCGACAAAACTTACCGGTGCAGTCACACACCGTGGCCCGGATCGGAGGCCTGCATGACCATCACCATCACCAGCAAAATATGTTCTCGGCGACCGCTGTGTCACCGCCGCCACTGCAATCGGCGGCGACGGGTGGCCAGCTGCAACAGCCGACGGACTTGGCGTCCACGGTGGACCTGACAGCCGACAGCCGGGCGCCCATCGATTATCTTACGCCGCCTCCGAACGCCGACTTTCAGTTCCTACAGCAAAGCTTCCCGGCCGGCGAACCGTCGACGCCGAACCGGCCAGAGTCACACGTCCAAAACGTGCAAGCGCCGCCGCCACCGCCGCTCGTACCATTGACTGCACCGTCGGCACCCGTGGCGGTGCATACGTCGCCGTTTACGCCCAGCGGAGGAGCAGGAGGCGGCGGCGGCGGCTTTCCTTCGGCTCAGGCTCAACCGCCACCGTCACATGGGACGTCACTCATCGGTTCGCTCGCGGTGCAGACGTCGTCACCCAGTAACCAGGTGCACAGCCTGACGTTCGCCAACCCGCCACTAGAACAGTTCACTCCGTACACGCCTTCGCTGCAGGCGAACGACCCCGCGGCCAGCCATCAGCAACAGCAGCAGCAAAACGGCGGTCGCTGGGAACTGGGATTCGACGCTAGCGAGATACTCACACCCCCGTTCTTGGGCGGCCCGGAACAGCCGCCCGGTGGTAGTGGTCAGACATTCTTCCAGCAAGATTTTGGTCAGGAGACAGCGAGTTCGGTGCGCAACAACAAACAGTACCCGGCGAGCAGCGGCGGATCTTTGTTCTTCGGCGGCGGTGGCGGAAGTGGCGGTGGAGGAGGTTTCGACGCCTCCTCTGCAGCCAACACCAAGTTCACGCCACTAGACGCCGTCATACGGCCGTCGTTGTCCAACAAAAACGTGTATTGGGGCACGCCGAAGACCGCTCAACAACAGCCCCTCAGGCCGCCACCGTCGTTCGCCGAACCGAATGCTTTCCGGTTCAACAACAACAACAACAACAACAACCATTTGCACCAACTGCACCACAACAATCACGGCCCGCACCATCACCACCAGTACGTGGACGCGTTCCAGATGCCGTTCACTGGCCAGTTCGACGGGCCGTTGTCGCAGGGCACAGTCGCTGATCACGTGGTGCACAGTTCGTTCAGGATCAAGCGGCAGCTGCAGGACGCAGGACCCCCGCCGTCGGAAGCGGCTGAGCGCCGCGGTGACGACGATCGGTTCGGTGACAGGAAACCCGTTTACAGTTTTGTCAAGACGGACAGGAACGGAAATTTCAAATGGAGTGTCAGACACGGTTACTGAAACCCATTCAATATCGGCCGCCGCGCCCGCTCAATCGTTACGATTACCTACCTATATAGTATATAATATATTATATTATATTATAATATTACGATGGTATTATAAATTATAATATACTGTATTATATTATATTGTCATATGTTAATATATTGTACACAACGTGTTCCGTGTAATTATTTTGTATAAAACGTATTTAAAATGAAAACGGAAACCATTTTTTCACATTAAAATAATAATAATAAAAAAAAATACTTCCATACTTGCGATTCATTTATATTATACTTCTGTAGCATCTGTGGAACAAGTATAACGATAACAGAGCAAGCGAGCACAAAAGTGCCTATTTAAACAAACATATAATATCATTCATCGCGTATGAGAACATAAATAACGATGATTAGTTTTCTGTCAAAGATATCAGTGTACAGGCAGGTGCACTAGAAATGGCGAGGTGGCCAGGGCTGTAATTTAATACGAAGTCAACATAATATCACATTGTCAAGTTCTGCCCTAAGATATTTTGTGTAAGATACGAACGACTTTTTATTGTTCTTCCAGGCATTACCTGTGAAAGTAGGCACTTAACCAGTACTTTATCAAGTAGGTAATTCCCACCTGTTTGCAAAAGTAAAAGAAAATTATGTTTATAATACGAGTTTTGAAATGTCTTCATATTATTATTATTATTGCATTGGCTTTTATCTCCTTTAAAATAGGTGGGTAGCTTTAAATTTCTAAATTTGAAATATTATTATAAGTACCTACCTATATACTCATTGAATATTTCTATTCGTCATTGCATAGCGTCACCGTTTTTGATAAGTACCTACCCATGTAGAATAGATTTCGTGAACGACCCATATAGGTACGCATTTTATTGTTTAACACAGTATATTATTACAGACTTTATTGAAATTGGAAAAAAATAGAGTTAAGCACCGACCAGAACCATTTATTATAAGTTATTATATGTTCTATACAAAGAGCATTTGGGGTGTGAGGTGTTTACAATAGGTAGGTACAAGTATCTAAGTGATTTATTGACTCGTGCGTATGTGTGTATACTTCATGCAAGCAGATACGGATATACCGTGGATCGCGAGAAGGTGACGGAAGTCTTTGGCATGGTATCCACATCTACACATTAAAATAAAATGTGCGATAGTTTTAAACGTAATCGTAGACCGAGTTCAATGGGTAGGTGTATGATTATAAAATATTGTAGAATATTATTAAGTTACTCTCGTAAACGAAAATTTTATTACATTGGCACGAGTTTTTTTAAGATGATTTCGCCGATTTAAAACCGTTGGATTTGTCGGTGAAGAGTTCTTTGACGTCGCGTCATGTCAAGTCAAGAAAACCATACAAATTGTTTTGCGATGTTTGCACAAAGGGTTTTGACAGACCGTCGCTTTTAAAGAGGCACGTAAGGACCCACACAGGTGAGACCATAACACTATAAAATAATACTTAGCTATGATTTTTTTTCAGAAATTACTTATTAGATTTATGTATTACAATAACATACATCAAACCATTATAGGTATAATAAACAGGAGCTTATTAAATGTTATTCTTGCATTTTACGGTGGATCATTAAACATTGTTAAACATTAAGCTAGGTACCTACCTATAAAAATATTTTCGACACGTTCCTAAACACAATCTTAAACTTGAAATATGGTTATTAAGTAGGTACCCATTTACCTAAACAAAACGAAATGTTGAGGGACAATAATTATTTTGTTTGGATTTTTTTTTCTAAAAAATGCAGGTAGGTTACCAATTTAGAAAAAAGATTCTCTGTGAGTTTATAAAGCTAAAATTATAGGATAGAAATCTATGTTAAATTTTCAGATTATAAGACATAAGTACCTATATTCTACTCTTTTAAGTTATAACGCTGCAATCTGCATATCTACCTAACTGTTCCTATTTTTCAAAGATCACCTCTATATACACTTGGAAACATTTTCGGACATCCGCAAAATGCGATTGAGAAAAAATATCGAAGACCAATAAGCCAAACCAATAGGCGTACAATATTACATACCTAGCAGACTTAGTTGTTATTAAAATCTAATTAATCGATTAAGCCTGATGATATTTTTGCCATGTGGCTGTTCACAGGAGAACGTCCTCACGCTTGTTCCCAGTGCGACAAAGCGTTCTCTACGTCCAGTGCACTGAACACCCACAAACGTATACATAGCGGCGAGCGGCCACACGCGTGTCCAATATGCGGCAAAACGTTTACGGCCAGTTCGAACTTGTACTACCACAGAATGACACATTCCAAAGTAAACGGATGGGTCAAACTATTACAACTTTGAGTACATGAGTGCATTGATAACTAATTATAAGAACAATAACAACCGCTATGACGTGCGCATAAAATTAGTATTATAATGTATTATACATCCATACCAGTATATCGTTGGAACACTATAGGTTTTAACTTTTAATAACCGAGCCGACCAAGCAAAATAGAACTCTATAAGTTTAGCCTCATTTGCTGACGACTCAGCAATGCTTACGTCAAATAAATTTCCTGATATCGCATCTCAACATTTAAATGAAATAGAATCTTGGTCCAATGACTGGAAAATTAAAATTAATGACGATAAATCTGCACAGGTGAATTTTTCACTAAACAAAAGGGAATGCCCTCCACTAAAGTTTAATAACAAACAAGTTTCATTTCACCAGTCAACCAAATACCTAGGTATAACTCTAAATAAAAGATTAACCTGGTCAAACCACACCAAGCAAAAACGAAAACAACTTAACTCCCGTCTCCATCTACTTCTGACCTCTACTAAAATCAAACATGAGTCTCAAAAACAAACTATTCCTGTACGTATGGTCATACGGCATCCAAATTTAGGGCCCAGCTTAACCCGTAAACATTCGCCCTATTCAAGCCTTCCAGTCAATTACCCTAAGATTTATCATCGGTGCTCCATGGTACATAACAAATGCAACCCTCCATAATGACCTAAAAGGCTAAAAATACAAACAGTAAACGAGCTTGCAAAAAGCCACTAATACAAAAGTTTCCATTCAAAATTAACAAACCACATAAATCCAGTCATTCAAAATAAGTCCTCTCTTACATTACCACAAACTCACCATCGATTAAAAAGAAACTGGTCTAGAGATCTCCTAAAATAGGGGAAAAAAAATTCTGAGGTTCTGTTAATGAACGGTCTCCGTCTCCTCTACACGTTATTCATGTTCGAACCTATATCTTCTATATTATTATCCTTACAACTATAAAAAAAAAGGGTTAGGTTTTTTTTATAATTGTTTTTTATTGTAGAACAGATTGAATAATATTCATTATTATTTTTTTTTTTATTAAAATGTTTTATATTTTAATAACAAAAAAAAAAGTTTAGCGCAAGAGTAAACATAAACTTTCCATTTATACAAAAAAAAAACAAGATTGAAACAAAATATATTATAGACATACAAGACGAAATATTAGATAATATTACCTATATATTTACAAATACAATCTGTCGGGAATCTCTACAACACTCGCTTACACCTAAATAGACAAATACTGCGGAAAACAGAAAACTTATATCCCCATTTTACCTACCACTTGAAGCGGAGACGAAAATATCTCCGGAAAAACGAAAATAGTGTCGTCAGTTAGGATATTATGTCTCGAAAATGTTTCAATATATTTGTGCTCCTATATTTTGTTGAGTCGAGACATAATGTTGCTCAGTTGCTGTTTTGGTGCATTGGTGCACTTGACATAATGGTAAGGTAAACAAAAATATCTCACTGTAACAATATCCCGAGTGTATAATGTCTCAGATTCGACATCCTGGTACAGTGGTACGAATACAAATAAATTATTATTTTTCATTTTAAATGATAAAGATAGATACATGGTATATGTTTTGCATTTAATGTGAAAATAGGAACCCTGGAGTGTCCTACATAAATAATGATTTGAAAATAATATATAATATTAAATTAAATATTGTGATAAAATATGTAAGTATTTCAATAACTATGGTTTTAAGTACAATTTTTAATTTTAAATTAAATTAAACTTTTGTTTTTATTTGCTTGGATAAACTACATTTTTTTGCTGGTTTCTTCAACTTTGAGTAAACCAATTTCAACTGTGTGTAGTGATACATTTTGCCAGCTAAAGCTAAAATATTATTTCAATGAGATTTATGATATTAAATAATAATAGGTACTTACCAATGAATTAATTTATTATTTGACATGATCAATTATAATAGATGCATTTCTTTGGTTATTTTGACTGCATTTATTTTTAGATATATTTTTATCAGTTATCAAATCCACAATAATCAACTATAATTAGAAAATAGAAATATAACATTCCAAGGTGGGATGGTATGGTTTCAGGTAAAACCACACAAGTGTAATACATGTGACAAGTCGTACCCAACGCCGGGTAATTTGCGAGCCCACATGTCATCACACTCTGGCGAATGGACGTATCACTGCACGACATGTGGCAGAGGTTTTGGAAAAAAGATCAACGTGGAAAGGCACGCCAAGACATGCCGCAGATAAACCAAAACATAAAAGCCATAATCATCTATTTAGATATCATTATTATATTGTTATAGTAAATATAAAAAAATTGTGTTGTAATTTAGTCTTCCGTTGGAACATCAAGTCTTATTTTTTTACTATCGTTTTCCTTTTCTTCTGTAGATGGAGCGTCTCGTTTATTGTTGTTTGAAATTTTACACAATGATGCTTGCGTGTGTGATGAAGTGTCTTGTTTGGTTATTTGTCTTACAACCATGGTAGCATAATTGGAAGGGCGCAGGGAGAATTCAATCGACAAAGATTTAAAAGAACCATCTATAGTAAAAGAAATTTTCTTTAAATATTAAAATCATACAATACAATAAATTTTAAATAATTTATCACTGACCTGATACAGACATGAATGGTTGTTTATTTTCTAATAATTCAATATCAGACAATAACAAATCATCATTTAAGTCGTTATGATTAATCGTAGCCCAGACTAAATCTTCGGCTTTAGATACAATACATCTATAAGTGCCTTTCAGTGAAAACAGTCTACAAAATAAACATATTTTATGATTAAACACGAATAACATCATATGGAATAAAAAACTTACTTGTTTTTCTTTGAAAGCTTTTCAGAAGTTAGGTCATCTTTTGCTAAAAGATCAATATACCATTTTCCTATTTCATTATCTGGATAGCTCACATCGCAACCTGGCAATGGATATACAACATCAAAAATGGTATACTTGGATAAATTTTCTTCTGATATTGTTTCAACTTCTGGAAATTTTACATTATTTGCATCAGTTTCTTCTTCTTCTTCGTCTTCTTTGTTTTCTTCCCCATCAATAATTTCAACAGGTATTTCTTTTGATTCATTATCCTTGAAAACCAAGTCTCCCACAATTGGGTTTAAACCAAACTTTTGAATACGTTGTGATACAATCTTGTTCCACATTAAACTCTGATAAGAGTGAAGATACAATAACACCAAGTTTCTTGGAATCTACAACATTTGTAATAATTGAATTAGACAATATTGATGAACACAATAATTATTAATTTTCTTACAATTTGAAAAGCGTTAACATAGGCCTTAGGACCATTAAAAGCCAATGATCGTATTATTTTTGCTTCAACTGAGAAATTTTTTTTTGACAGTTGTTTTAAAGCCAGATTTGGATCTCTAGTTTTCCACCATACTGATCTAGCACGATCAGTGTCGTTCTCAAATGCACTCTCCAAAGGTCTAGGTTTCAAAATATGTTCAATAGCCTAAACATGAAAATGAATTACATTTATATATGAATATCGCAGTATTTTTGATATATTAAATAGTAGTAGCTGGTGTTGTGGTTCACAGGAACATGTGCAAACATGTGGTGAACTAACCAAAATAATTATTAGATTTCTATCGTAAATTATAATTGGTTACAGTGCCGTAGATACAGCCCCCCTGGCTTAAGGTCTTAAGCCCCCAACCCGAAAAAAAAAAATCTTGGCTATGGCATTGATTGGTTATTATGTACATTGTACATATAGTCTGTAATATAAAAATTGTCTATCAAAGTTTTTTTATTAATTATTTACAAGTGGGTCTATTAGTGTTAACAATTAAATAATTTTCTGAGTATAAAATAAATATAAGCTACATGCATTAATATGTTGGTTAGAAAATGGGGTCTTTTGGACCACATTTAATGTGTGAACTAGACTTATTTTGATTACTAAAACAATAACACATCACCATGCATTGGCCATTAACTACCAACACTGTACTCCCATATACAAATTAATGACCATCAATAGTAATATATAAAAACACAATAAAATAATATTGTGATTGTGATGTTAATTTATTTTTATCTCATTATAGTTGATCTTATATAGCTTAAAAAAAATATAATGTAGATAAGTACATTATTTTGGATATATAATTTATATCTATAACAGAATCAATTTTGCTAAACATATATATTTATTACACGGGTATCTAAAAAAATTTTTGTGCACTACTTTATGTGAATCTCACAAGCCACCATTTAGAGTAAGCAATATTAATTATATGTATACCTCTTCACAGTTACCACATGCTAATGATTTTCCAACAACATAGGTAGGGGACACTACTGAACTACCAAATCTTTGTAAACCATAATAATTAATGAACCCATGTACTTTTAACATTTCAATAGCATTAGATACTTCTTCGTCATTTCCTTTGATATTTCTAAAATAACAAACAATCATATGAACAACAAGATAATGTAATAAAAAAAAAATAACATAAACCATATGCAATCTTTTATGGCATTAATACAATTATTTATACACCATAAAGAAAATACATAGAGATTATAGGAGAATGATTATTTAATTTTTATTTAGAAATATTTATCTTTTTTTCTAAATAATAATCATTTTAAAATGAGTGTACAAATTACCTTAGAACAATGCGAAATCTATTTCCTTTTAGATCACCTAATTTAAGGGTAGAATTTTTGTAAACATAGTTACCAGTCCATATATTTCTGGCATTAAGTTTTGCTACATTATTGGCATTTAATTTTCGAACTGATAACATTTGAGTTGTATTCCCACGCTTATCTTTAGTGCCAGCATGTTTAATTGTATTAACTTTCACTCTGAAAAAAAACATAAGTTTTTATAAAATAAATGCTGTTATACATTAGAACATTATAATTATATTGTTATAATACAATAATAACGTTCCAATTGTGTATAAATAACTAATAATTGTATGTACAATTATAACCCACTTAGTCATAATTTGAAATATTTTATACAATTATTATACAACATCTATTAGATGCAATTAAGATGACACTAATCCCACATTTGTTGTCTCCATTTTACAATGAATGTACAACATTACAAAAATGTTCATTCAGAAGACTTCATTTAGTTTTTATCAATATTATAGAGAATTAGCCTACTGTCAAAAATAAAGATAAAAATATTATCTTGGGCATCTCATAGAGTTGTATTGGTATTTTAATTTTAAAGTGAGTTATTAGTCATAACTATAAGATTTGACAACGCTCATACTTACTTTAAAATTCAAACATCAATCAGTCTAAAAAAATACCCTATAATCTATGCAATATAAAAAACCTAGTCGACAACGATCAGTTTTTGTGTCGACTATCTGTATAACTGCTATGTAGTGAAGAAATCACATAAGCACAAATCAGGTATCGGCTAGGTTTCTTATGTTGAATAGAGTATAGGTAATATTCTTACCTTATTAATTGAGTCACTATAATATTGAAACAAACAACACAAAAATGGATTCTGCTCACACATATTTGGTAAGCTAAACATTTTTAAGAAGAAGATAACTTGATATGTGAGTGTGCTGTTCTTTTAATTCAAATAGTAATTTCAACTTCTATAAGTTCTTAAATTTTACCAGTGATGGCTCACGAGGAAAGCACTATGTAGTAGACAGAGCATACTAAGAGGATCTCACACTCGTGTGCACCTAAACATGAGCTGCCACTGAATTTTACTATAACCTTTTTATATAATAAATAATAGTTAAAATCTAATACGAGTCTTAAAAAGAAATTCAAAATTACCTTAGTTGTTTAGAAAGAATGCTCACTACATTTGTGGTATCCATGTTGCATTTATGTAAAGCAAAATGTAGATATTCAGGTCTAGATTTAGGCCATGTTTGTCTCTCTGGAAAAAAATTATGTTATTAAAAATGATAAGTATTAGCTAATAACAGCATAGAATTAAAATTAACCAAAGTAATCTGATTTAATAACTATCTTAACCTAATATTTTCCTCAAAGTAAAATAAATTATATTTATGTAATCTTATAATATACGTTCATAACTAACCATTTTTAACAAGTGTAGATAATCTAATGACTATAAACTGTTTATCCTGTTCATCCTTTTTAGTGTTTGTGCTAACTTTCGCACCATATTTGAATTTTAAAAAATTGTGTATTGACTTGCGCTGTTCTTTAGTAAGTCCATCCACCTGAAAATGATTTATAAATCAGTATAAAAATATATTTACTGTTTACGTTTATTACAATCATTACATTAATTTCAATGCTTTTGGTACTATGAAATTCTACCAATTCTTCAATATCCTTAGAGTATTTCTCACACAAACCAGTTTCATCAATAGCATCTAAGCACAATCAATAAGTTAATAGTTTAGAGAGTAAATTTATGTTAAATTTTTTTATGAATTACCTTTCAAAGTAGTATCTTCGGCTTCCTTTTCAGGAACAGTGCGGCTTGTAAGACGCACAACAGTTCCATCCAACGCAATTTCATTCACTTGAAAATCAGACAACCTAAAAGATACATTGTTATATTTATTAATAAGGGATTAAAAAAAAAAAATTGTTGGTCTCATATTCACCTGTGCTTCAGTATACCAGAAATGCCAGGAACAGATGTTGTATATTCTGTTATACCTACATCCTTTTCTTGAAGTCCTTCGTATAAGACTGTCTTTACAGGACCTGAATATAAGCATAACAATTTTAAATTATATTTTTGAAGTATTAAACTCATTGATAGTTGTAAGTATAAATTTATACGAGCAATTTTCTGGAACAGATCATCACTGGCTTCATTAATAGTTTTGTTACTATTATCCAATTCTTCTTCTACACTGGTACTCATTTTAAAAAATGTTATAGAAACTTAGTCAGACAGACAAATGTATTAACTGTTATGTATACAAAAAGAAAAAATGTCTCAAAAAATCATAAATTTGTTTGGCAACGCTAAAAATTTAAAACAGAATGAAAATAGAAATACTCAAATCGATATTATTATGATTTATAATAAACATATAAATGTATAGATAAAAATAATAATTTATCAGGCAAAAAGCGGGGTAGCGTTACAAGTTACAACTTGAAATCGACTTTTTAGGTTAAATTTGATTTTTAAAAATGAGGAATAACGTCGTCTTGTGAGTAGTTGTGGCCTTGAGGGTGATAGTATTTCTATTTGTTATTTAACACGGTATATCATGATCTGTGATAAAAGATAAAATTACTATATTTACAAGTTTACAACCATTTTGGTATGAATGTATGATCCTCACCACTGTCTAGCACCGCAGAACAATACCACTGGTCTCGGTCCACCACTATTCAGCAATCACCGTAGTAGTGATAACACCAGACTCCACTGTTGGTCGCCACATAAATTCATAATTAATAGACAGAATAAAATAAATATCTAAACTACTCTATTAATTATTATGAGTCTTCGTTTAACTTGTTAGTTCCATTTATACATTTTGACTTTAAATACTTAAATGGTGTTTTAATACCGATCAAATTTATTAGTTGTGAATGGTAATGTCTTTTCCAGCCCAAAACGCTAGAGGTATTTACATAACAGTTTTTATATATTTTAAAATTGCATCACGATAATTTATATTATTGTACTCTATTTCTCATTTAGGTATTCAGAATCGAAAAATACTTGAAGACTTGGAACTGAAGAAACAGATATTATTAAAAACTGGTGCTGTTCCAACGCCTCCCACGGTTTCTCATCCTACAACTCCGGTATGACAATTTAGTTTCAGTTCTTTTAAATGAACCATCAAATAATGTATAATAATGTTACTTATACAGTGTACATTCTTAATAGATGTCTTATTATTGTTAAGTACATTTCTCAACAAAGATATTAGGTATGTACAAATACTCTACAGTATTTGGTATAGTCACAGATATATAAACATACTAGAAAGCGGACGACCATATACCAGATGTTATTAAACGGGTGTCTGGGGCAGCCATTTGTGAAGACAGCAATGCTTACATTATGCAGAATTGATAACGAATGAGTAATCAATCATCTTAATCGTAATGACTACAGACCACAACAATTATTAAACATACATAAAAACATACTTCATAGCCCATACAAAAATATATTATATCAAATAGGACATAACTACACGAGAATTTAAATGTTAGGTTATATTATTGTATTATTTTAATATTAGGTATAATGGTTTTCACTTGTTCTGCTCATGGGTGTTCGAATATCCACTTTTTGTCGTAAGTTGAAATGTCCATATTATTTAATACTTATATTATCAACTCACACTTTTGATATTATTATTTTTAATTAATACTAATTTAATGTAATTTATGTACCTTGTAAAGGCACAAAATCTATTAATTTTATTAAGTCCTTTACTTCTCTCCACTCATTTATGATTAATAGTTATGCATATATATGTAATATGTTCACAGTTTTTTGAATAGTTATTTTAATTTTTTAGTTTAAATTTGGACGAAACTACATGTCTACATATTAAATAACCAAGAATAATGATTTTAGTCATACAAGTATAATATGATCTAGTTTTTTTAATATGTATTTATCAAAATTATAATTTATCATTGGCTGTTATCAGTTAATATTTGTAAACATTGCCGTGGTTGCATATGGCAGAACAAGACACACTTTTCGGATTGTCGTGCGCTATCTAGTATGTTTATATATCTGTGGGTATAGTATAACATGAAGACATAAAAATATAGGCTTGACAATCTAGAGGTTAGAGGTTAAACTTATTTTATCTATAGTTAAATTTAATTATCAACCCTAATCCAGGGATGTATAATTGGTAACTAATGTTGTGAGTAAACGCCATATTTTCAAAAAATGTACAAATCTTATTAAAATTGTTTTAATATTACTAAACATTTTGTATAAATCACAAGGTATACATTTTTTTTGGTTATAATAATTGGTTAAACATGTATAACATTTGGTATTAATAATAATCATACAACTAATTCTAATATTAAAATTTAAAAAAGATTGATACCCTAGAATAAAAGTTATTACACAGTTAGTTGCATATTCACATCTGTCAGTTCCTTATGTTGTACTCTATATATATTTATAATTTATACAATTATAAATCGTATAAACAATCTTTTGTTTTTATTTTCTAAATGTTTATCTAATTTTTAAATGACCACAATGTTTTTAGGGAACATCTGATAGTCATTTTCAACGTGCCCAAGCCTTACAATCTGCAGGTTTCTTCATCACCACAGATTCAGCTTTTGGTAATTCTATATTACCTGTCCTGCCTCGCATTGAAAAATAATACTCAGCAACCATGGCAATTATGAAGTTAAAGACGTTACAGCATGCACTTGAAGATATTGAAACATTTGAAAACCCGAAAATCGAACTAGAACAATACACTACATCATCCCATATTGCAGCTTGTATTCTACATACAGCCCAATTTGTATATAACGACATTAGTGGTAAATGTGTAGCTGATTTAGGATGTGGTTCAGGAGTATTGAGTATCGGTGCCGCTTTGTTAGGTGCTCAATATTGTGCAGGTTAAATACATTCTATATTATGAAGTTAGGATGTTTAAAAATAATTATTTCTATCTGTTTTATTTGTTTCATAGGTTTTGATATAGATCCATCTGCTATTTCTCTGAGTGTAGAAAATGCTGCTGATCGTGATGTTTTAAGTCAATGTGATTTTATTTTATGTGATGTAAAAAAGATTGATAAAAACATGCAACTTAAAGCATTTGATACTGTCATAATGAATCCACCGTTTGGGACAAGAGAAAGGGGAGCTGATCTAATATTCTTAAAAATGGCTTTAAGTCTTGCTACTCGTGCTGTATATTCACTTCATAAAACAAGCACGAGAAAACGTGTATTGTCAATGGCAAAGGAGTTGAATGTCCATGCTAAGGTTATTGCAGAGTTGAGATTTGATCTACCAGCATCTTATAAATTTCATAAACAAAATTCTGTTGACGTGCAAGTCGATTTAATACGTTTTGCATTGCCATCACTAGATAATAATCTCTAATCTAATTTTGTACCATTCGCGATTACATAAAAAAAAGAAAGAATACAATTAACATCTTGAAGACTATCATATTGACATTAATTAAATTGATTAATTTTATATGTATTATATTATATAGAAATAAACAAATTAACAATAAATATCTCTATATTATATGTTTAAATATTTTATTACTTCCTTTCTACTGGAGTTAAATAATTATATTATTTTATCTAAAATCATTTGAGCAACACCAATTTCATTTTGTACTCACTGCTGATGACTACTTACAGGTTTTAGAAACTTAAAATGTTGAGTATATAAAACCAACATTCGGCATTTAAAAATCCCTGTTGCATAAATTTCTGTTTTTTTTTTACATTTGGTTGTTTTCATTGCATATTTTTAGCACATATTTAACGATATTTAATAACATGAATATTTTAACTATTATTGTTGTATAAGTTATAAATAATATCATTTTAGAAAAATGAACGAGCGAAATTATATAAAAAATAATTGCTTACATATTATTAAATATCAACTAATACTATTAATTTCTCATAAAAAATATTTAAATTTCAAACACCTTATTAATTTTAAAAGAATAATAATGCGCATGTGTTATATTGTTTAGATAATGGTAAAAAAACACTAGCACATCTAATATTAAAAAAAAAGTATAAACTGAATTTCAAATGATTATTATAAATTATAACTTGATTGAACTCTAATCATAAAAAATATATTTATACAAATATTAATACATCATAATAATATAATATAATAGTTGATAAGAAGTAATGGTTAATGGTAACTGGTAACTACTAACTATGTACTTTTCACTGCATGTATGGCATAAGATAAATTAGTCGAGTCAGTCCAACTCCATCGGTTTGTAAAAGGATCATATGACAGTCCATTAATTGAAATAGTATCACATTTACCTAGAACAAAGTTAATCAGAAAAATTAAATATAAATATTTTAACTAAAATGTGATATTCTAATTTAATTATCTTATAATATTATGTATCAATTGTTTAGAAAAAATAGAAACATTGTAATAGATCTTAAACAATAAAAATGAAATATTTAATTATTTAAAAAAGATCTAACAAAAAATAAATATTTTAATTGTAATGCATATAATAACAAGGTACATTGGTGTAAATTAGTATAATTCAGTACATGCAAAAAAAAACACCATTAGGCGCCATCCACAGTGAATATATTAAATTACAAATTATACGATAATTTGAAACTTACAATTAATTTCTAAAATTGACTGCAATTCATGAGGACATATGAATTTTTCCCATTCATGAGTACCTTTTGGTATGAAATTAAATGTTTCTCCTATCAATATATCATTCAACCATGAACAAATTGTTCTATTTGGAGTTGTTACAAATAAAGATCCTCCAGGCTGAAAAAAAAAATATATTATTTTAGTTAGTATTAATATTCTTTCAGTAGTCACAGCTTAAACCAACCCTATTTATTTTGCCATAATTTGAACAATTTTAACTGGATTAAGCTGAGTTAAAGAGGATTATTACAATATTTGTTGAGATTTCATCAATTTAATCTAAATATTAGGTATATAAATAGAATACAATAAAATCATGAAATGTTTTTTTTGTGATTACAAACTTTTCTACATCATTATTGATTCTTGATAATTTAAATGTGGTCTTAACATATTTCTTTTCGAACATGAATTAAGTCTTACATTTATTTCTAGACAATCATAATCATATACTCTTTCAATAACTATTTAACTATTGATGAGGACATGTAATTACAATTATACATATGGCATTTAAGTAGCTGAACATTTTTAATGCATTACATATTAGACAATACTTGAGATGAAATAAGTCAATACTTTGCCAAATAAAGTTATATATTCCTGTCACATGATATTAGAAAAGTATCAGTAAAAATTGTTCACCATAAATTCAACCAATAAAGTTGTTACACTAGGATAATTTGGGATTACAATTACCTTTAAACAATCAACACATTTAGTTAGAAAGCCATATTTATTGGATACGTGTTCCAAAACTTCTGAAGTTACAATTGCATCATATGATTCTGAATTTGATAGTGCATGCTCTTCAATTGATTCATTGAAATATCTACAAATAAAAATATTAAAAATATATATCGAGTGGATATTGTTTGTGTCTAATTACTTAATATTTTTGTTTCTAAGAATCACAGAATGATCATTGGCAATTGTAATTAGTTCTTTACTGGGATCAATTCCAGTCACATTACCATCAAGACGTGATAATGCCTAAAAACAGATATAAGCTTTTTAAGTTGTAAAATAATTCAACAATTTGAATATATATTTAAAATTTTAAGCCATACCTCAGTTAAAAGTCCACCACCGCAACCAACATCGAGTATTTTTATATTTTCTAAACTTTGACGAGTGCCAATGTTTTTTGTTTCAATTTTTTTCATATTTGCTAACCCATTAATTATAAATGAAACTCTAATTATAACAAAGTTAATTATTACACTTTATTGCTCATTAAATAGTTAATTATAAATTACCTTAATGGATTAAAAGAGTGTAATGCATTTAATGGTCCATTACTATTCCACCAATAATCTTTCATGTTGGAATGATGTTCTACTTCATGAGCATTTACTGTTTCTTTTACATGATTTTGGGTTAACAACCTGAAAATTAAATACGTCCAAAAATATGTTATGACATAATATTAAATGATTTTACTTTAAAGGCTGAACATAATATATAATACATTCTATCAATTTATACTTTCTGCACACATATAATATTAAATATCATCTATGTTTTCTATTAAAGTAAAATAGAATTGTGAAAATGTGATCAAAAATGTAATAGGCAACTCTGATTTATAGACTACTAAACAAGTACATATTATACACGTTCTGATTTGAATACGAGTGTTTTCAGTATTGACAAAGTACTTGTAAGTACTATTTACAGGATATTAAAAAGACTTTGATTAACACATGAAATTCACAAAATGCACTTATATATGTAATTGTACCTAGGTAGTTTAACATAATCCATAATATTATTAGAATACAGTGAAACCTGCCTTTTCTTATTCCTTGATAAGATGGAATCCTTTTCTGTGCGGAAATTTATTATGGTCCTGGCAGATTTCAATAATTTAATATAGGATTAAACCCTTGATAAAACAGAACCTGTCTAACGTAAGACGGAAGGCTATTTATTGGTCTCGCAAATCATATACACGGAAAAACACATCATAAAATAAACAAAAATATTTTTGATACCCACATTTATTTTGCTACTAAACAATTATTAAGGTTAGCGATTAATACGTATCGACAGATAAGTACATTTTATCTTGAATCTCCACATCAGTGCTTATTATTGTCACTGTAGTCGTACTTTACCTGTCGTTTTGTATCGTTGTATTTTCTCTCATAATGTCTTCAAATACTTGTTTAAGTTTAGGCCTATGATATATTTTATTATTGGCCAGAAAATGTTACAACCTTAATCGTGCAGAATATTATAAATCTATATTACGGAATTTGCCTTTTTATTCAGTTGTATGGAAACCTGCCTAAAATGGGAATTTGTATTGGTCCCATGCAATTCCGCACAAGACAGGTTTTACTGTATATTGATAAATAATTAAATACTTAATACCTATATTAGACAAATGCATACAAAATAAAATATTTAACTTTTAAGTGTAATCAACATTGGTAATTTTTACCTGGAAATGAAGAAAGAGTTTGAAATGTTTGTTTTCTTTACTATTAAATTCATACTGGAATACTAAGAACGATCATAAAATGTTTTAAATATCAAACTCGGAACGAATTTGTTTTCTGTTAATAATTTAAAGAATATGTCGAGAAGCAGCTGTGCAACCACCGCAGAAAATGTTAAAAATATTAAAAACTTAAAACTTAAAAATAAGTCTGTGTTCTGTTATAGTTCAGTGTTCGCATAATATAATATTACAATATTATTCAAGATGTTGAGAAGATTTCAAGATATATTCTTCTCTACATCGTGATAATATTATATCATAATGTTTGTGATAAGGGCATGTTGATAATAATACAGAATACAGATATAATATATATAAACATACTGTGGCCGCGATACAGAATACGCACGTATCTCTTCACTCTTGTTAATATTATAATCAATACTCAAATACTGTTAATAGCATTGTTCTATTCTGTGATAGCACGGACCACGGACTAAGATATAAGATTATATAACTAAGATATATAAGATACTAAGATCTTAGTCCGTGGTTAATTATAGTTTTGACTATTTTCAATTTTGAGTTCATATCACTTTTAACTACATATTACATTATAAAATTTATTCACTTGATTTCAAACGACATGATTTCAGACGTCATCTTATATTTGATTCATCTTAGTTTTCATAAGACATGGTACTATTGGTTCTTATTATTTTTCGTAATTTAACAACTATTTTAGCATTAATTTATTCAAATTGGTCTAGTAAATTTATGTGTACCCACAGATATATAAAAATACTAAATAATATTTTTATATATCTGTGTGTGTACCCAACTAATAAACCTACAACTTCCATGATTTTGTAAAAAAAAAACTATCTACTTAAAAAAATATCCACAACGACATTATTATTTTTGTCTCTAAACTCTTAATAAACCCTTTGTAGTTTGTATAGCAGAAAATAAGCTTTTGCATCGATGGTGGTTTATGATAGAAAATTAGATCTAGTTTGTTCTATGGGAAATCAAGTGACATCTATGTGAATTTGAAATTTTCATTTTTGACTTTATTCGTTCTTTTCTCGAGTTCGATAGAAACATATTTTTTTTAGATATTTATAATAAATAATTAGATTCTAATAAACTAGAACACCGTAATTAGATAAAGAATAGGTACTTACCCGCCTAAGTCAGTGTGAGTATATAGGTACATTAACCTGTAGGTAGGTACTAGGTACCTACTTATACTCACAGTCTCTAGATACGTATTCAACTGCAGCCAGAGTGTAGACTTTTTTTTTTTATTATTTGCAAATAAGTAATATACAATCTGTACCAAATGACACAATAAGCATATAGGCTCAGAGTAAAAATATGACATGATAAAATTGAAGAAAGAAGCCACCCATTGGCGACACTTTCACAGGAGAGTTTACAAGTTAGTTAATTAAAAGATCTCGGCACCCCTTACGCTTTAGGCGCCTTGGGGGATTTCCGGGTATGGTAAAAGACGCAAGGTTCTTGATTAGAGGATTATTGTGATAGTTTGTTCTGGCGTGAAATCGTTTGTAGTAGGCCTTGGCTTCTTCGTTAAGCGTTTTTAGATTTAGATCTGTGTGGAGTGAGAGATTTGATACATAAGGAGGGGCATTCGAGAGTTTCCTTATGGCGATATTTTGGAACGTTTGAATTTTATTTAGGTTCGACTTTTTTGCGTTTCCCCATAGTTGAATCCCTTAGAGCCAGATAGGTTTGAGCAGGGATTTATAGATGAGCAGTTTGACATTTAGAGAGGAGTGTTTATTATTATGAAGCAGAGTTTTTAGCATTCTTAGTCGGTTATTTAAAGTCAGCCTTTTGGATTTGATGTGAGAGGCCCAGGTTAGTCTTTGATCGAATGTGAGGCCCGGTACTTGACTTTTGATGAGGAGGTGATTGGGGTTCCGTATAAGGTGACGCTGGGGCAGGGGGCAAGTCGGAGAGTAAAGGTTGTATGTATCGATTTGTTTGGATTTACTTTAAAGCGCCAATTTGTAAACCAGTTTTCCATCGAGTATATGTGGTTTTGTAAATTTACAGAGGCAATGAGAGGGTCAGCATTGATTGAAATTAAAACCTTATCATCCGCGTAATTGGCCACAGATGTGAAGGGTGAGTTGGGCTGATCTGACGCGTAAATGTTGTAGAGAATAGGAGAGAGAATGTCTCCTTGAGGCACACCAGCGTTTATGGCAGCTATGTCAGAGAGGGCAGAACCGGAACGAATTTGAAAATGTCTATTTGAGAGGTAAGATTTGATGATTAGGTAGTAGGTTGGAGGGAAGAGTGTAGACTTAAAATTTAAATTAATGGAATATTATAAGGACTGATTGTCGTTTTGATATTATAACAGGTCCCCTAACCCTAGTTCAGTAAAACAGAATAAGTAAATCGACTCCGCCGAAAAAGGTCTGTCATATATTACTGCATGTAAATATTGCAGCCTGCGTGTTTTTGAAACAAGTAAATAGCACTATGGGATATTCTGTTTATGTCTAGTAGAACATTTTAAGATAAGTAATAAACTAATAAATAATAATCTACGATGGAAAAAGAAATATAATTTATTTAATCAAAAATATTGGTTGATTCGGTTTTGTGAGGGAATAACACTTAATTAATTACCAATTATAATAATAATACAATTTTTGATCATAAACAACAAACAGACCACTATATAGCTAGGTATATTCATATTTTTTAAACAGCTGCATTTATCTTAATAACAATGTTCAATCAATATATAATAATGATTATTTGTATGAATTGTATGTATTGATCAACTATGTAGTCCAAATAGCACTCTTTATATGATACATTAAAGTGTTTTTATTACCCCCTCCCACCTTATTTCACGGCATGTAATATTCACAATTAAAGGACATTAATGTTATCATTTAGACAGTGGTTAGTGATAACATAAAAAAGATTTATTTTAAAGACCACTTTAATAATTAATAAGTAATTATATTGCATTTGAAATAATTATAATAAATAATTATGTAAGACTGAATTAATATGAAACAAAAAAATTTAGAAAGTACATACTAAACACGTCTATACCTATAGTAAGGATTTTTTTATTAGGTAAATGATTTAAATGTCCATATAATCCATAGATACCATATAATTTAAAATAAGAATACCCAATTAATCCAAGCAATATGTTTAGAATGAATATCAATCCTTCATTTTCCGAGAATGGTTTTTATCAATGAAACACTAAAAGTTAATATATTACTTACTATAATACCACTATGTAAAAATAAAGGTTAAATATAAACTTAAAATTTTTAATAAATATACTATGTTCATATTATCATTTTTAATTTCTAACCCTTTTGTAATAAATAAATAATACCAGTGTTCCTAGGTATAAGATTATATCAATGTATTCAACACAATACAAATAATGGATATTCATATAAAAACATATTATAGTGGACAATATTGTTGATGTAATGTAAAACCCTAAGCTATTCTACCCTCAAAATAAATATATATATGTATAGTATAATATATGATGTAAGGTGAATGTTTAAGATATATTTTACTGAAATATTAATATTCTTTTCGGTTGTACATTGAAAAAAAATATATAATAGGACGATGGGATTATAACACATTACAAAAGAATATTTACAAAAAAAAAAAAAATATTAATAATTATTTAAGAAATATAAATGCAACACAATTATAACGTATACATAAGTTCATATCTTACATATTGATTCTTAACATCATTTTCTATGTGAGGATATCCAGCCACTAAAGCATCTTGGGCACTAATATAAAGTGAATTATAAATTTTCCAGTACACATCACGTACTTTCCGAGCGGGATGAAAGAGTCCCTGAAAGAATAGAATAATTAGTGACAAGCAACAGCCGTATTCTTATTAGGTTGAATGCAAACGGATATAGGAGGGTTAAGTGAGCTGCAGCAAGAGGGGAGCTTCAATTTTTTAATAATTTAATGGAAAAACTGTAGAATGTATTTAATTTAAATTTACACATACTCCAAAATAAATATTATAGGAATAATGTTAGGCATAGGGTATAGAACCTTATTTTTCTATTTCAAATTAAATTTCCATAAAAAGTTAGATATTTTTGCAATAATTATAATAGAAGTTCAAATAAATGAAAGATGTTCTAGAATCTAGATAGGAAAGGTTTTTGTGCCGTCTACAATTGCCAGCGCCATTCGTTGTAATAATAATATCAAATACATTTCTAAACCTACATTTGTTGATCGGGAATTTTACATCAAATATTTTAGGAACATGACAAATTTGTTATTTGGAAAGAATCAAATGAATAGATAGCCAACTGATTTGTGTGACAAAACACAGACCATCAAGTCTACTTGGTCATATTTTTATTCCAGGTAGAGAAGGAACGTTTTTTGGAAGATGACCTTTATATATTTTTAAAGTATCATGGGCTGAACAATTAAGATACCTGTTATAATACATTTTATTGTAAGAACTTAAAGTTAATGATTGATTGTTGAGTGCTTAAAAGTACTACAAGCTGAAGGTTAAAGAACTCTAAGATATGATATAATAAAAATCTATAATATGTTTCATTGCAGTTACTTACTTGAAGTGTGTACTGTAAAATTTTGATGGGTCCAAGGGCAACTCTCAAACCTTCGACAGCCTCCATAAACGCTTGAACCAAGTGAGGGGATGTTTCAAAAATGTTAGGCCAGACATAGTTCAACAAATGGATTAAAGCATCCTCACAACCGAAACCAAAAACTCCAAGAGCCATATGTTTAATAGCTGCACAAGCTGTTTGTCGGTGTACTAAATCTCTATAAAATGTTATATCAAAATTAATTTAAAATATACATTATAAGTAGAAATTATTTATATTATCTATGTGAGTTATTTATGAAATTGAACAAACAACTATTGTTGGATATTGGTTATTATATTTTTTGTATATATAATTAAAGTAAAATAATCAATTCATATGATTCTTCTTCTTCAATAAAAATAGACATATAATATGTCGATCAAATTTTGGAAATCGTTTCCCAACCTTTTTAGTGTCACGACCCCCAAAATAGGTATAAAATATGGTCAATCACTTCGCGGACCTCCCTCCATCTATATTAGGTAAAAATTTGAACAATAAAAATATCCTATCATTAACCAAACGAAATATAACATTTTAAATATCAATTTATAAATACCATATCTATGTATATCCTTATCGGGATAATTTTATTATTATTATTTTAATTTTTGTTTTTCAA